AATAGAGGAGACCAGGATGAGAGATACCATAATAGATGGAGTCATTATAGCTTTGAGGAGAGAGCTGACACTAGTGAGGTTTCCAGAGATCTACAAGGATAACACCAACTGGGAAACTAAGCAATAGCCGAGAGACTACATTAATAGCCCCTCTCTGATGACAAGGCTGATGACTACCTTATGTGCCATCCTTGAACCTTCATCCAGTGACTGATGGAAGCAGAGACAAATACTCACATCTAAACACTGAACTTAAGTGGTACCCAGTGACAGAGATGGAGGAGTGGTGAGCAAAGGGGTCGAGACCGTGCTGGCGAAACCCACAAAGACAGCTGACTGGACAAGGGGGAGCCCTTTAACCCCAGACTGATCTATACTCCATGAATGAATGTAGTGTCAGTAAGGAGGCCTCAGAAATCTCCTGGGGCCTGGGGTAGTAGATCAGTGTTTACTATGGCATACGAATGAACTTTGGGAGCCCATTCCACATGGACGGATGTTCTCTCAGCCTGGACACATGGGGAAGGGCCTAGGTCCTGCCCTGGATGAAATGACAGACTTTGGATATCCCCCCCAAGGAGGGCCTCACCCTCCCTGGGGAATGATGTGGGGACTGGGTGGGGGGTCTTGGGAGGGGAGCTGGTGGAGAGACAAGGGAGGAGGAGTGGGAGAGGGAGCTGGGATTGACATGTGAAGCATGCATGTTTCTAATTTAAATAAAAATATATATTGAGGGAAAAAACCATCACATTAAAGTTGAACAAAAAACAAACCAAGAGAAGGAAAAGAATCCAAGATAAGGCCTAAGAGTCATAGAACTACTTTTTCATGTGCTCGGAAATCCTACAAAAACACCGAAGTGGAAGTCATAACGTAAATGCAGAGGACCTGGTGCAGACCCATCAGGCCCAGTCTTCCTCAGTCTCTGTGAGTTCGTGTGAGCTTTGCTCAGTTGATTTAGAAGGCCTCGTTCTAATGTCCTCCCCTCTTGGCTCTTACCCTCTTTCTGTCTCCTTTTCCATAGGATTCCCTGAGCTCCTAGAGGAGGAATTGACAGAGACCTATGTTTAGTGCTTAGTGTTCCAAAGTCAATCACTCTCTGTACATCATCTGGCTGTGGGTCTCTGTGTTTGTTCCTATCTGATGCAGGAGGAAGCTTCTCTGATGACGGCTGAGCAAGGCACTCGTCTACGAGTGTACCAGAATGTCATTAGGGCTTATTTTATCACTACATTTTTTCTTTCCTTTATCTTCTTTTCCTTCCTTCCTTTCTTTCTTCGTTCTTCTTTCTTTCTTTCCTTCTTTCTTTTAAAGAGCAATTTTGTTTGTCATTTTCATAGGTCCCTGGACTATTTATTCTCAAATTCTTTATCACCCAAACAATGTTGGGTATAGGTTTTATTTTGTCAAATAAAATTTGCCTTAAGTCAAATTAGTTATTGGTTGGTTACTCCCACAAACATCTTGCAGATAGTACACTGTTTTAGATTAAGGGTTTGTGGCTGGCGTGGTGTTTACATTTCTCTTCTAATAATGTACAGAGTATATTTCTACAACCTAAGACACTGTAACATAGAGGTGAAGGCTCAATGTAAGTGTCAGTTGAGCATCTCAGTATTCAATGAGTTGAGTAGGAGTTTTCTTTGCAATGGGACTTTTCAATCAGTTTTAGGAGAGCAACCTATGGTCTTGGCAACAACCTGGATTGTTTCAAGATTTCTGTGGGACCTCTTTGGTCAACAACTCTATTGTATGTAACCCAAACCTGGTACTGGAAGTTTCATTTGGTGACAAGAGATGGCCAGTTAGGACTCTATTTCCCCTATTTTTTGGTGATTTCATTTAGATCATCTTGACATATATATTAGGATGTTTCTACTATATTTGGTTCCATACTACCCATAAAATGCCCCTTAATTTTAGATCTATCTCCCTATATTTGTTCTCTCTTCATAATCTTCAGAAGCTAAAAACAACCTGTTGGAGGGCTCTGCTGTTTAAGGTTGCAGTTCACCATGTCTGGACAGACCTCTGAGCTCAATGCAATATGGAGACCTCCCTTTGCTGCAGGACTCCCTTCCTACCCTATTTGGATGGTGTCTCTCTGCATCTGTCTATCAGGTACTGGATGAAGGCTATGTGATAACAACCAGAATAGCCAAAATAATCCCATAAATAAAGGATTATGGAGGTATCACCATCCCTTGCTTCAAGCTCTACTATAGATCTATAGTAATGAAACAGTTTGGTATTGGCATAAAAACAGACATATGGATCAATGGAATAGAATCGAAGACCCCGATGACATAAACCAAAACACCTGTTAACACCTGATTTTTGACAAAGAAGTCAAATGTATACAATGGAAAAAAGAAAACATCTTCAACAAATGGTTCTGGCATAACTGGTGGCATCTAGAAGACTGCAGATAGATCCATATCTGTCACAGTGCACAAATCTCAAGTCCAAGTGGATCAGAGACCTCAACTTAAATCCAGTTACACTGAAGCTGATAGGAGAGAGTGGGAAACAGCCTTGAAGCATTGGCAAAGGAGACCACTTCCTAAATATAACACCAGTAACACAGGCATTGAGAGCAACAATCAATAAATAGAACCTCCTGAAACTGAAAAACGTCTGCAAGGCAAAGAATATTGTCAATAAGACATAGTGGCAGCCTACAGAATGGGATAAGATCTTCACCAACGCCACATCTCACAGAGGACTGAATTAAGTGTAACCTTTGACACAGTTCTCTATAAATGCTCCATCTCTGTTATCCATATGATAATTACATATTGTGCTCCAACTGTATGGTTAGGGCCATGCTGTGCTGCCAAACACATTAGGTGATACCCCAATCACTGACCCCATCCTTTATGTTCCCCCTTACTCTGGAACAGAGCTGAGCTGTAACATTGAGACAGTATTTCTGTATACTCATAGGCTGTACCAAGCCCTGCAAACCATCTCTGCTCCCTTTGTCCTCGAAGACTGGCAGCCAATGGACCATGAGGAAAAGGGAGACACCATAATAACCTAGATGTCTCTCAACAGAAGAATGGATAAAGAAAATGTGGTACACACAATGAAATGTTATTCAAACATTTAAAAGAATGACACCATGAAACTTGCAGCCAAGTAAACAGAACCAGAAAAACAAAACAAAACAAATCCCATCCTGAATGAGGTCTCTCAGACCTAGAGAGACAAATATAGTATGTATTCACTAAGTATTTTTATACCTTCATCACTTTCTAGACATCCAAAAACTGGGTCCAAGAGTCTAAATAGCTTCAAATTTTGTACTGTGAAATCACCTTCCTGAATGTTGTCCACCTCATGGAATTAAAGCCCAAGGGCAAAATATAATCAAATGATGAAATTATTCATTTTACACCAGGAGACCTCACAACATTTATAATTGGCCTTCACACAAACACTTTCTAAACTGGAACCCTAGGTGGCACTAAAAGATTAAGGAATGTGAGCATCTGGAACTCTGGCTTGAAAGGTAAAAAGGTATCTTGGACACTCTTTAAAGCAGGTAAGCCATCAGCCATTCTAGATGTATCTAGCCTTGGCCACACTGTAACCCTTTTCAAGAAAGAAACACATAGGTCATAAGTCAGAAAGATAAGACACTCCCATCTGGTCATAAAGCTTAGCATTAAGACACTGGCCATGAGTTTGTGTGACATACTTAACTTGGTAAATTGTCTTTATTTAGCTTGAAATGAAAATCGGAGAGTAGCTTTCTTCAATAATGACTGTAGCGAAAAATTTAAGCCTTAAAAATGTTTTAACTGACACTAAAATATACATTTTTACAGGCACAGCATAATAACATTACATGTATGTAATATATAATGATCAAATCAGGGCAATTAGCATATCTATTTTAAAAATTCTATCGTTTCGCTGTCCTGGGAATTTTTGAACCCTGCATGAAATTCTCAAAAAATTAAAGTCATAAAATGTGAATCTTGAGTAGTTTCTCCTTCTGTAACACTTTTTGTTTTTGTTCTAGATGCAGAGGCCAAAAGAGTTGGGTCTACTCATTAAAACTGGTTTACACTAGTTTAAACAAATTCCATTGCTTCAGAAAACTTTCAGACACTGCCCCCCCATACACTTCTTCTGGGCTTTGAAATTAAATAAACTTTTATTGTCAACATTCTTGAAACAGTTCTGAATTAGGGACAGAAGGTGAAACCCAGCCTGTTGGATTCTAGAAATGTAAAGATCGCCTTACCTCACCTTTGTCTGAAGAAAGAGAAGTTTCTGATCTGCTTCACAGCCATGAAAACATCTTGTGCGTGTAGAAAACGTGTGTACATGTATCCAGGTGAACAAACACGCATGCACTTGCATAAAATTACCCACGCGCCAGCAGAGACATACATACTCTTTCACAAAAGCATAATTCTGAAAAAGTCTGTCGCTTTTGTTCCCTTCCATAATAGAAGTCTTCTGAGCCTCAGACAGATGAGTACTTGGTATAAATGTACATAGTAGTTGAAAGGCTCTGGGGACCTTTGTCAGTAAACTTCAGAGGATGCAACTATAACTATATAAAACAGCACATTCCGGAAATGGCTGGCAGGAGCTGAGGGTGGAGCACACATGGTTCCCTGGTTGATGGCACCTTAGAGTTCCAAGGCCTCTAAGAGCCTTGGTTCTTCACTTGTAAGTAGGGATACTTCTGCAAACCATTGTAAGGGTTAAAAGAGAAGACTTTTTCAGTACTCAGCAGTTTGTTCGATACTGCACACCATGCAACAAGTCAATTAAATAAATTCATGAAATGTCTTTGTATTTTGTGTTCCCACTCAATGTAGTTCAAGCCAGTTCAGTGCAATTTCAAGACACAGGACTCCCCAATGCTTCATATTGTTCACCAGAACCTTTGAAAACCAAAAGTTGCTACAGTCTCCCCAGCCTGGTTTTTCACATGGAAGCTTACTTATTCAAAGTTTCACCTTTTCTTTCGTGGCCCACAGGCAGCGACGTCACTAAAGCTAACTGTATACACTTTGGTGAAGATCAGACATTGTGAATTCAAGGGTGAGAGCTTTGTTTTAAATGTCTATAATCAGCTACTGAATCTTCCTGGCTACACAGCCCAGAATCCTTTATTTGAGGTTCCCTGATCCTCATCCCTGCCTGACTCTGAGTCACCAGTCAATACAAATGCCACCTATTTACACTCTCAGACTCTAACCTTTCAGAGATTCAGCTTAGGGCTCAGAGAAAGGAAATGAAAACACCATGTAACACAAGGATAAATGAAACCAGGAAAAAGGGAAAATTAGGAGAAAAAACATAAAAACTGTAGAGACAACATGAAGAATGTAGATGAAGGGGAAGATAAGAAGACACACACACACACAGACACACACACACACACGATGGGTGCTTTATAATGCCAAGTATTCATTTTATATTTTATTGCATATTCATAACAGCGTGCTTTAAAATTCTATGTGTTCTTTGGTGATTTCCTATAGGAATACAATGTATTTAGATGATTTCCACTTTTCCTCCACCAAGAACTCCTCCCAGACTCTGCTTCTACGTCCCACACCAAATTTCATGTCTCCCACCCCTGCCCTTGTCTCCCTCCTGTTTCCTCCCCCCTTATCACTCACTGTGTGCAATTACAGCTGTCCGTATGTGCATGGGTGTACGGCCCCATTCACTGGAGTACTGACAACCTATTATGGACCACATCATGTGAGAAGATTGACTCTCCCATCAGCTGCCAATAGCATGTAAGTTAGGGGTGGGGAATTGTGAGTCTCGCCCCTCTCCATCCTGGAGTGTTTAGTTCTGTAAAATCAAACTGAAAAGTAGTTAAGCCTCCTCCCCATTGCTCCTTTATTATTCCTAGGGTTAGTTATGGAATTCTGTGTATATAGAAACAAAAGTTTAAAATCACAATGGACTCTTTGAATAAAACTGACCCGTGGCATTGTTTTTTCCCCACATTGTTATGATCAAATTTGCCTTTTACCTCCTAATATCTGGAGCTTCTTGTCTTTATTTAAATGGAACCCAGTTGATATCAGTTTACTTTGGTCTTTTATTTCCTTCCTTTAAACACATATATTTAAAATGAGAAAATTAACGGGAGAAGTTTGAATATTGAGTTTAGTGAAGGTATCTGGCAGTGATTATTTATGTGTAATGATCTGATGGTGTTTACAGTAACTGGTACTGTCTAGGTATGGGGAGGGTCCCAGTGATGTTCTCTGTGTTAGCTCTCCTGGGGAAAGGCAAACCCTTTACATCCAGTTTCAGGTTCAGCTCTTAAAGCAGAGACTGGAGTTTGGGGAGAAGATTTGAATTGAGAAGTATCTGCTTGCTGAAAAGGCACTGATAGTTTTAGAAAAGAAATGTAGTCACAAGCTATGGGAATTCAGAGAATCCTAGAGCCTATGTGGTCTTCCCACTCAAAGTAGATAGGCACCAAAAAGTATTTGGGTTTACATGGACATTTATGCTGTTATGAGGCTAATATAATTTATAGACCTGTAATCTTGTAACTGATTCATTATTTTTAAATAACTTTGTGTTTTGTACTATAGGGGGAAAACTGATATGTAACTAGGACTCCTAAGAAGCCTTAGAGCTTTCCCATAATGACATGCTGTCTTGGACATTTCCGGAGAGGCTGCACAGCAAAAGAGACAATGGCACGGATAGTCTCAGAGAATAAACAAGGTTTTTCCAAATGGAAAAGGAGACAAAAGAGAGTTTTTCATGTATGGTCATGATGCAATTTATGGTTCAAATTGGAACACTTCTGATAGCGAAAGTTTGAAGTGCACCTGCTTTAGGCATCTCTGTTGGAGCAGTAGGAGGACGATAGGCAATTTCCTCCACAGTGTGGGAAGCTAAGTGAAGGTGAGAGGTTATTTGATGGACAAAGAAACAAGCAAATTCTCTGTTAGCATCCAGTTATGATTACCTGGCAGGTCAGCCTCTACTTCCATGTTGTTGTTTTTTAATCTAGAATCAGGATTCTTTTCTTTGTTTTGTTTTGTTTTTCTAGATAGGGTTTTTCTGTGGCTTTGGAAGCCGTCCTGGACTCTTGTAGACCAGGCTGGTCTCAAACTCACAGAGATCCACCTGCCTCTGCCTCCAGAGTCCTGGGATTAATGGCGTGCACCACCACCACCAGGCCAAGAATCAGGATTTCTAATTTTTACTGTTTACCAATGTGGAAAAATAATAGTCATAACAAAAGTAATTCTATAAAATAAATGTATTTATTAGACTAGTAAAAAAACCACTAAAAAATTGCCTGAGAAAATAGCTCTGGGAGGCCAGCACAAACACTGGAACCTTTTTTCTTTAATTATTTGTGACTACACAATACCAAAATTTGTATGCCTCTGACCTCACTTCAGGTTTTTTTCTCTCTTGCTTACTTAGCTATGAATTCTCAACCTTTCCTCATTCACTTAGATTCCTGTAGTTTGGTTTTTCAAGGATACTTAGTGTTTCCTTGTGACTTGGTACCCACCTCATCCTCTGATGTGTTTATTCCCTTTCCCTCATTTCCATGAAGGCCTCCATTTTATCTATTCTCCCCAAACCTGCCCATGTGCTTCTCGGGCTGGCTTCAAGAACTAAATTCTGACTAGTACTTTAAGCAAAGTAGTTCCATTCCTTTGCCATGGGTTGCTTTGGGAGAGAACATGTAATGAGTTTGGTCAAGGAAACACTGGAATTCCAGCAGAGTCTGCTGGGAAAAGTTTCCTCAGACCGAAGAAAATAGCATAAAGAAAGGCTAGGCATTACAATGAGTGTTGAAAGCAGTTACAGGATGCTAGCTTCTCCTTGTTGGTCCTTGCTTTGACTATTCCTCACCTTTCTCCACGTTGCTATGGTATCATTGATAGTTACTCAAATGCTGCTTGCCATCAAGACTCTACCCAAGCAGTTCTCTCTCACACATGCCTTCTCACATGTCCTCACGTGGTAGGTTCTTGGATGGAGGTTCAGCTGAGCTTTCTTCAGGAATCTATGTTTGAATCCTCTGTACTCCATCTGATGCACTCAGAGAAGTTTCTGTGGTGTTCTCTGTGCTATTCTTTCATAATTATATGTCATGTTGCATGTTATGCACTCCTAGTATTACTACCAAACATCCTGCCCATTTCTATGGTTGATTATAAATTCTTAGAAGATAAAGAGTGTACTGTAGTTGATCCTTCTCTGTCTTTTGGCACGTGAAAGACAGTTAAGAGACTATTTCCAACATAATTCAGCTTATATTTCTCACCAGATTTATTCTTCAAGTAATAGATGTAGTTGCATAACTTTTCAAATTACCCCTCCACATTTTCCTCTCATCGTGTATCTGCCTGTCATACATTCTTATCATATATCACAAACAGTGTTTCATGTCTCCAGCTCTAAGGCTGATTAACTCTCCTTAAAAGTGATACCATACATGCTGTGAGAAAATTTTCCTGGATTGCCTTGACATTCTCACATATTTAGAGCACAGCATTATAATGAGCTCTTCATATCACTGACCAACAGCATAACTACATATAGTAGGGTGACAAGGACTTCAATAGACGTGTAATGAGAGCATAAGAAAATATCTGGCTAGCTTGAAGCCATCTGTGTGAAGGATTCAGTGTGAAGAAAAACTATTGTTCCTGCTGGGGTGGTGCAAGGTTTTGCACAAACCCCGTAGGTACTACACCAATGAATCATGACCCCAATACACTGTGGGATAAATTAAAGCTAGGCAGAGACCTTCCACCTTATGTTTTGCATGTTGTTAAAGCAAAACTGAGGCCCAGGGATATCTTAGTTTCAGTTTTACTATCTATAAAATGTCTAATGATCACCAATCTGTAATTTAGAAATAGTAAATATTATTTTACGAGTAATGAAAACGACATACATAGATACAATCACACTTTCAAAACTCTATTTAAAGAATGAACAACTTGAATAGGGTCTTGGTGAGCTGTAAGGAAAAAGCAGCTCTCAAAGTTATTAAGTGACCTTGGGAGTCAAAGGAGCTTGGTTATTGGAAACAAGGTAATTTATTTGTCTCCTACAGATGGCATTTTTATTAAACATACAGAGGAGAGGGCATGCAATTCAGCTCAGTGAAGTTCAAAAGGTACTTATTGTGTGTATGTTAAGAAAGAGTCCACAGGGGACTCTTAGAAGGGCAGGCCTTTGGTGGGGTCTCTGAAGCCCTAGCTCCTGAGATGATTGCTTATGTTAGATGTGAGGAGAGCATCTGCTGGGAATTTTCTCAGGCATGAAAACAATCTATCAGTTTACCCTCTGTTAAGGGAAAGTCCTTGGGCTGTCATCTTTCCTGGGAACATATTGAAATGTGAAAGTTCTTAGACATAAACAAATAAACAATTGAGTAAACAGTTTTCTGGAAACCTGATTGAACTGGAAGCTAAAACGGTTCCCAAGGAAAGGCTGCCAGAAGATACATTGCTTTGTGCTCTGCTTAGGGATGTCATGTCCAGAGAATCATGAGATGCCTTGGAAAGGACCATTGCCCGAGGCTTGGAGCCAGACATCAAGTCACAAGCTCTGTCACTCATTGTCATTAGGGAATCACTGAAGCCCCATAGACAATTTCTCTCACTGTAAAGTGAACATACTTGTTTTAGTCCTCAAGTTCGTCTTGTTGTCTATGAAGAGCAAGGACATTATGTATGCAAAAGTGCTTACACGGCAAGGTTAAGGGACTGAGGTTATGGTTGGGTGGCAGAGCATTCCCCTAGCATGTACAAGGTTTGCATTTTATTCCTTGCACTGGGCTAAAAGAAAAAAGAGAAAAAAATCAAGGCTAACTTTGTAATCAATACAGTACACAGTGAGTCTATTAAGCTAGAAGAGTGAGAAATAGACTTAAATTCACAGCTAATTTCTTTGTCTTTGCCTTTGTTTTCACACTGTCTCAGGAAACTAAAACATATTTATGCATGTTTGAATGTGAACTACAGATGAATAAAAGGAATGACATGAATAAACGTGATTATATGTAATAATGTAGGATCAGAAAGCAACGACTTTCTGAAAATAAATAAAAGCTTGGAGAAAACACAGTAAAAATAGCTACTCACCTTTCCAGTATTTACTGTGTTGTCACTCAATTTTTACTATTGTAACAAAACTTTTGAAGGGACATCATCTCCTGGAATGAAGGTTTATATGGACCTGTGTTCTGAGACTGTGCCAATTTAATTGAAACCTCCTTATTCACATGTAAATACAAACAGAAAAGCGAGGAAAAGTGTGTTTTACATATTTCTAATTTTTGCTTGAAATCCACCCATAGCACATGCTGTTTGAAAATAGCAAGCACTGAGGTTGAGATTCTTTTTTCAAAAGATCAGTGGTAACATAAGCTAAAAATCCAGCAAGAGCTAAGATTGTGTTTAGTAATAAGAAGAGAACTTTAAGGCTGTTTTTTAAAGATTAATTTGTTAATTACGTGAACATCTGGGTTTTGGTTCATCACTTCCCTTGGAAACCTTGATTAATTTATGAGATTTTCCTCCCCATTTACTAAAAAAGCAGTGAGTCGCCCGGCGTTCCACACCAATGAAGGCAAAAGTTAATTGGATTCCAGATCTTTGCCCATTTTTCCCCTCAGCAGCTCCTTGCTGTTGCTTTGAGTGGAACCAGGCGCTAAGGGATTCTGTGTGTTTGTGTGTGTGTGAGAGAGAGATACAGAAATGAGAGGAATTACAAGTGATTGGAAAGTGAGTTTGAAAAAAAAAAAAGAAAATACCACTTCGTATTTCTTTTGGCTTGGGTGAGAGAATCTCGAAAGATGAGCAAAAAAAGAGGTCAACTTCAGAACTAGTGGACTTATTTTCTTGATGCACACTTAAAAAATAATTTGATTTGGGGATGATGTGCATGCATCACCAGAAAGGACTCTTTAAGATTTTCCGTGGATGATAGTGTTTAGGGTTTGGAAAGAGGAAGTCGGGGATGTACAGAACTCACACAGTCTGCCCTCCTAGTGAGGGATGGATCAGCACCTAACAGCCCTCAAGCCCCAACCCCACTCCGCCCCCGCCCTGGAGGAAGAGGGAGCAGGGCAGAGGTGCCTAGAGCTAAGACTGAGTGCTGTTACCACCCTCACGGCAAATCTGGACAACTGCCCTTAGCATTTCACAGATCGCGGTAGCTGAGGTGGCCGTCATGAGAGACACACCTGCATTTGTTTCTTGATCTTGGTGGCATAAAGCAACACCCTCGTAAGAAGGGGAATTCAGCAACCGGTTATAACCTCACTTCTGTTTTCATTTTGCCTCTCCTCATATCTCTCATCTGTTTTTCTCCACAACATTGTTTTTTTTTTTGAGTTATAATTGACCTTGTAATCTGTACATTTATGTGAGCTATTAGAAACCTTTTCTGGGTCTTGAAGGAGTATGACTACACACATGAATAATGTAAGGAAATTCTGAGAGGTTATTTCTGGAAGGCAAGACAGGGGCTTTAATTGTGTGGCAGCCAATGTTCTGCATAGCCAGATGTATGCATATGTTTATGGTGACCATGAATTCATTTCCTAAATCAGATAGAGTAGTTCATGTTTATACTAAGTACAGAAAACAGTATTTGTGGCAGCAAGGATTGACTTTTTCACCAGAAAGATCTGTACATGTGGCAGAACCAGAAGACAGCAAGGAGCTGTGAGATTCAGTTCTGATTTTATTTTCACCCTATGCCTTCAAGAAAATATAGGACAAGGTAATCACAGTGGTTCACTTCAAATATTTTAAAAAAGAAATTCTATTAAAATGTATTTTCCACATAAAGTAGCCAATCACAAGAGAACAGGTTTTGATTTTAATAATTTTCCATAATGTCCATTTTATTTGCACAATGGAAAATAAGAATAAAAAATCTTAAGTCTTCAATCTGACTTTAAAATAAGACCTTGCAATCTAAAGAAGCAACTATGTAAAAGCAAAGAATAACTTGTTTCAATTTATTCTTTCTTTGAACAATAATGAAAATGAGACTTTACTAAGCCATTTCCTTAAACAATTTCCCAGTCCTTTCAAAAACAACATTGATGACAAAATTCACTGACAACCAGGGCAAAGGCACAGACTTACTTTTATGTTAAGCATCCTTAGTTTTTGTGACACAAATAACAAGAAATCAATTTGGGACAAAAAAAGGTGTTTTACTATAATAGCAGTAATGAGCATTTAACAAAACAAAGCTTACCACAAACATTTACAAAGGTAAGGTCTCTGAGTTCATAAGTACAGCAGGGCAGTGTCAGCACTGATGAAAGTGGAGCATAGGTGAGTGCTAACAGGGATGAGCATAGGTGAGCACTAACAGGGATGAGCATAGGTGAGCACTAGTTGGGATGAGCATAGGTGAGCACTAACAGGGATGAGCTAGGCGAGCACTAACAGGGATGAGCATAGGTGAGCACTAGCTAGGATGAGCATAGGTGAGCACTAACAGGGATGAGCATAGGTGAGCACTAACAGGGATGAGCATAGGTGAGCACTAGTTGGGATGAGCATAGGTGAGCACTAACAGGGATGATCATAGGCGAGCACTAACAGGGATGAGCATAGGTGAGCACTAACAGGGAAGAGCTAAGTGAGCACTAACAGGGATGAGCACAGGTGAGCATTAGCTGGGATGAGCATAGGCGAGCACTAACTGGATGAGCATAGGTGAGCACTAGCTGGGATGAGCATAGGTGAGCACTAGTTGGGATGAGCATAGGTGAGCACTAGTTGGGATGAGCATAGGTGAGCACTAACAGGGATGATCATAGGCGAGCACTAGCTGGGATGAGCATAGGTGAGCACTAACAGGGATGATCATAGGTGAGCACTAACAGGGATGAGCATAGGTGAGCACTAACAGGGATGAGCATAGGTGAGCACTAACAGGGATGATCATAGGTGAGCACTAACAGGGATGAGCATAGGCGAGCACTAGGTGAGCACTAACAGGGATGAGCATAGGCGAGCACTAACAGGGATGAGCATAGGTGAGCACTAGCTGGGATGAGCATAGGTGAGCACTAACAGGGATGAGCATAGGTGAGCACTAGTTGGGATGAGCATAGGTGAGCACTAACAGGGATGAGCATAGGCGAGCACTAACAGGGAAGAGCTAAGTGGGCACTAACAGGGATGAGCATAGGTGAGCACTAGCTGGGATGCTTGAAAGCCCTCATGTACAGAGTTTCATTGTCTTCTCCCTCCCAGTCTGGCTGGTAAGCAGTGGCCACAGAGGAATGTTCCCACCATGTTCCTCTGTTATACAGCCGATTGTGTGTGTGTCAGAAAACCTGCCATTCAGTTGGCACAGGTGTCTCTACTCTGCTTTTAGAAGTCTGACTGAGGGGTGCTTCACAGATTCCAGATACTTTCTCTCAAAATGTCCCTTCATTATTTCACTCCAATGTACCATTTTGCCCATGGAATCTCACCTGGTGGAGAGATACATGAAATATGTTAAGTGTTCTGTAGATTTCTAGGATTATGGGTAAAAAAAAAACCCTTAACAACCTTAACTCCTTTCCACAGTTGTGAAGATGATGAATATGAGTGTTTTGAGATGATTCAAGAAAACTATATTGACCAATCAATAGTATAAAGGGTAACTATCATTTTGTTGATACTTACATTTGGAATTCAAGGTTTAATCATCTAAATTCCTAGTTTTCAAGATAACGACAGGCATGGGAGTAACCAACCACATTTTGATTGGTTTTAAGGTCCACTACATGAGATAGAATCCTTACCTGACACTGCTAAAGTAGCCAAGAACCTGAGTCTAGACAGGTGATGGGCCTTCAGGGATACCAACTACTATTATTCTGCTAAAGGAACATAGCAATAAAATGAATCCTAATGATATATCACTATATCCACACACCGGAACATTGGTCAATCCTAACCAGACAAGCTTCCTCTTGCAGTTAAGTAGATGGTAATTAACAAAGAGCTAGATTTACAACTGGGCGCTGTTGTCTCAGAGAGTGAGAGACTTTGGAGAACTCAGCTCTACATGGGTTACTTTATCAAATACCTACTCTCCTGGCTCAGGGAACCCTGCAGAAGAGGGGACAGAAAGATTCTAAGAGCCAGAGGTACTGGATGATGCCAAGAAATCAGTATCTTCCAGGTGATGCACATATGAACTCATAGAGCCTGTGACAATATGTGCAGTCCCTGCACAAGCTCAAACCAGAGGACATTCTAGCACAGAGAAGGGGAAGTGGACTCGAAGTCCCACCTCTAACCAAAGAGCTCTTTGCAATTGATACTGGCAGTAAAGGGAAAATCAGTTTTGTCCAATGGTGTGTCACTGGTATAGTAACCACTCTCCAGACAAGCTCCATGCTCAGGAGTAGTTGCCCAACACAAAAGAGACTCCATTTTCCCCCCTTTGGTCTTACTGATTTTCTATCTTTTTATTTGTTTTTCATTTTTGTGGTTTTGTTTTTTTTCATTGAGACAAAGAACATGAATTTGGGAGTGTGTGGGGGGGGTGAAGGAAATCCAGAAGGAGTTGGAAAATTTTGCTGTGCAAAAATAGAATAAAAAATGTAAAAGGATACTAACAACCAAACTTGGCTTCAAAACATGCTGAGCCAAGATCATTTAATGGTGTCAATGAATAATATTTCAGTAAATGCAACTTTATGTTCAATAAACAAATCATTGAGCTGAGGACTAGTGTATGGACACGGACCAATTTACTGACCTGTTAAACAGGAGTCCAATTCGCCAATGTGTATAAAATAGTCTATGGATCAAAGAATGAAATTAACCAGCTTTCCTGCCTTGGGAAAGACCCTCAGTGAAGGTTAGAGAAAGCAGTAGGTTAGAAGTCTTCCCCTAGAACTGGCTCATTCACTTTGGGAAAGAGGATGGGACAGAGTCAACAACTTATATGCTCATTATTCATGAAATTGATCTTCAAATGTAATAGGATGTAGAGCAATCAGAAGACAAAAATCATCTCTACAACTGCAGGCAGCATTTATCCTCTGAAATAATATTTTCTTTATGAAAGGTCTTTTGTTAAGTAAAAGAGAGTCTACAAAATTATGAAACCCTTAAAAGATTTGGTGTCATTTAATCCTTCTCATTGGAACACAGCAAAGACCCTAGTAATATTTGTGGATTTATGTAAATAGGTACAAAACAAGTTTTGATGAAAACAACCCCAAAGTATTCTATTTGTTTTTAAAATTTAGGATAGGTAGCATAGATCTGTGCTAAAAAAGAAAATGAAACTTTTGAAATGTTGGCTTCTTGATTGAATGAGTTAGAAGGGAAAACTTAACAGGGAAAATTTATTGCTTGGTATATAGGAGAGATGCTATTTATGTTCACATCCTTTAAAAAGGAATTGTGTATGAGGAAAAGGTGCTGTCTTAGAGAAAGAGGGGCAAAATCAAAGGTCAAGGAGAGGGAAAGACATGGGAAGACACACAGAGAAACAAAACAAATGAACAGGTCTCTCAAGACAGGCACTATGAGGGGATTCATGAACAGGGTTGGGGGTCTGGGTGGCAGTGTGGAGGGGAGCACTAGGATCGGAGTGGGGTGGGATCTGAAGTTCTGGGGGGATTGCCTATTAAAGCGGCGTGTCCTCAGTGGCAATTTAAATTGGTTCTTTGCTTAAGAAAGTATTGCTGCTTTGTTTTCAACCATCAGAAATTGTTTCTGAAATAAACGTTTATCGGTCCAAGGATTTCTGAAGATTTTCTCATTTTAGACAGACAACTATTTACACAGAGTGATTTTTTAAACTATTTTTTCATGAAATTAGTTTTTTGAGATGCAAATTTAACTCATTCACTTTATTGTATATACTGAAGTTATACCTGCTGTATTCACAACTTTCTATTTATTTCATTGTTGGGAGACTTTCTCAAAAGAGAAACCTTGAGTCTCCATTGGTTTGCTTGCATTCTGGTGTAAAAGTAGATATTTAGAACACAAGGTATGTAGAAAAACAAGGAAAGATTTGAAAATTATCTTTAAAAATTGTATGTGTGCATTTTTATGTATTTGATGTATAAATGTGATGTGTTCCTAAGTGTGCACATGCACATGTGGCTGAATACATGTGCAAGTGTGTGTGTGCATGTGTGTGTGTGTGTGTGTGTGTGTGTGTGTGTGTGTGTGTGTTTGCAAGTGGAAAGGTCATCATCTTCCCCAATTGCTTTTCTGCCTTATTTGTTTGTTTGTTAATTTGAGACACGGTCTTCCTGAACCTGGGCTAGACTGACTGGCCAATAAACTCCTGGGACTTTCCTGTCTCTGGTCCACATCCCTGCCTGAGGCTCTGGGTGCTTGCTGCTCCACCAGACTTTCTGCATGGGTTCTGGGATACAAACTCAGGGCCCCACACTTTCATGGCAAGCACTTCACAAACTGAACCATTCCCCCAGTTCCAGGATAAGTTTTATGTTTGCTTTTTACTGGATTCAGTGTTAGAAAGCAGACATGATCTCAAGAGTTCTGGTGACAGATGTGCTAATTAATCTGATTTGATTATTAATTAATATATGCATAGGCCAAAACATTAATTACATTGTACCCCATAACAATGCACAACTAATATTTATCAATCAAAAAGAAAAGTATGAAAACAAAACATTCCCCCACTTCCTGTTCCAAAAAGAAAGATGGCCAGGTATCATTTTAGTGTTTTATTTTTCAAGAATCATGGTATTGTGCCTCCTTCTTGAATTGTAGTGCTAGCAATGTATTGCTTCAAACCAAAACTTTTTTTTTAATTTCAAGCCAGAAATTCATGTGCTTAATTCTCTGGTGGGGTTCTCTGTTGTTTCTTGCCACATATTTAGTTCTAAAACAACTGTGTTGTCCCTGTGTGGAGGTTCCTGCCCCTTAAGGTGGTTTTCATTGCACTCATGTACTCCTAGCTGTTATTTTTAATATTCACCCAGAAGTGAGCATGAATTACGTTGTTGGAACAATTCCATTTGCCAGAGGGGAAGTTCCTGTGTGTGGCTATTGATGTTCTTTTCAAAGTCAACAAATGAAAGCTAAAGAAAGGGTAGAAGACAATTTGCGACAGTTAGGCCTGCAGGCAGCTACATACACACAAACAGAAGTCGATCTCATTATTTCAAAAGACTGTGGGCTTAGCTCCTCCGTGGCAGAGAAGAGACAGGTCTTCTAGTAACAACCTTGAGCTTAACTGGGTAAGTGGTTTGCTGTCTTTACTCTCAACACAGGTTTTGTCCTTGGAGGGACCAGGCTTATGCACATGAAAATAGTCAGTCTTGAATGGAAAGATGCTGGGCCTTTGATGTGACTGGGTCATTCTCCCCTGGTAGCCTTTTGCCGGTGTTATCATTAGTGACAGAGCATTGCAGCTATAAAATGACCATGGTCACTGCCAAGTCATGAGGATAACTAAGATGGCTTCAGCACTGGCCTGACTGAGCCCTTCATACCCAGATGCAGATTCCTCAGAGACACACTGAAAAAAAAAAGAAACATATGCAGCAGACAGGCAATTTCCAGAGAGATGCCTCTTACCTACCCATCCATGTGCATGGCTCTAGGTGATATTTCTATATTTGCCTGTGTCATTTTCAAAACTGTTTTCAAAAGAGGATGTATCTTGAAGAACTTCACATGTTTTGAAGCTATGGCCTCCTGTTTTAGTACTGGGCGGGGGGGGGGAGGCTTCTAATAAATCTTTGGGAAAGCAGAAGGTGACCTGTGAGATCCTCCATTGCACCCACCAAATGCTGATCCATACTTACTCTCGACTCTCTTGTTGTTGGGCAGGGATGTGCTGAATAACTTCATAAATGGTTCCAAGAAAATCTTGCCCTGTCACAGCATCAGAGGCTGGGGCGGACCTACTTGGCATCTAGAAAACATAGTACATTGAAAGAAAAACTTAGCCCAAGATTAGCTGGAAATGCACTGTAGCTTAAGGATGACCTCTGGAATGTGGCTTCCTCCTTGCTACAGTTTTCATACATCCATGCTATGTTGCTTTTTCTTTCAGTAATAGCTTGGCAATCCTACCACTTTTTTTCATTATTTAAGAAAAAAAGCTGGGGACAGGCGTTGGTAGTGCACGCCTTTAATTCCAACACTCTGGAGGCAGAGGCAGGCGGATCTCTGTGCGTTCAAGGCCAGCCTGGTCTACAGAGTGAGTTCCAGGACAGCCTTCAAAACAATACAGAGAAACCCTGTCTCAAAAAAAGAAAGAAAGAAAGCTGGAAATACTGTACAGGAAAAAAATAGAAAAGTAGCAAAAACAGAGATCAAAATAAACAAACAAAAAACAGCTTGACGGCTTAGAACCAGAGAGCACACATGACTGATATATTATATCTTAATTGCTCCTTTGGACACTTTTTGCCAATCACATGCACAAGGCTGGCTTGATAGAAGGAATAATGTGAAGTCAAAAGCCCTCATCGTATTGCAAGTGAGTAAGAAGACAAAGTGATGCTTTAGTTTTAATGCTATGGTAATGACTCCAAAAACTAAAGGCGTGGCTGAAATGAAAAGACTGTAGTGTATTTATTGTTAAAATCCTCATATACTTTGTTTAGCCCTGCCTTTTATGTGTTTCCTCACATTCCTCATATTTCATAATTACTTTCTTTCTGTAAACATTGTCTTCTGGCTTATTGTCAGCCTGGTCTACCTTCCCACTCAGCCCCCAGTTTAATCACACTTCCACCTACCTGCAGTCCTCCATATTTACACAGCACCCCTAGGAAGTGTTTGCCTTGGGTAAGACTAACGCATGCTTTCACTTTCCAATTTGACCTGACAAGAGGTACTGGGATGCCTTAGTTTTATGTAGTTTTGTAACCTGTTTTCATTCCTCTCAGGGGAAGCCCTATGGCCGTGGGCCATGACTTCCCTAGTCATTTTATGTTGAGATTTTGATAGAATTTATAATTGAGATTGACTTCATTTTCCTTGGCATGAAGATGGTCAGGGCCTATGGTAGATGTATACTAACATATATGATACAATATTAGAACTATTGAATAACAACACATTTGTTAATTTTACACATTTGTCTTCTGTCCAACTGCTGGGAGAAATGCTAGATGGATAATGAAATGTAAAACAGGCAAAGAGAGAAGCTACCTATCTTACATGTACTACAAGAATCAAAGAGCTTGTTTTGATTCTTAAGATCCAAATACATTAGCAATTAAATTTATTTTCCTTCTTAGTGACACTTTTGAGATGTTTTTTCTTTTATTGGTTGTTGTTTTCTTCTCATGTTCAATGCCTTGGGCTACCCATCTTCCCAAGCAAATGCCAAGCTGGCTTCTCACTCAGACCCTTCACCCCCATGCCATTGTCCTCATCCTCCTTTAGTTGTTTGACTTCTCACTTCATCCCCAAAGCACCTGACACGGCCACTTCAGAATGCCAGCCAAATTCTTAGGAGTTTCCCGATTCGATACAAGCATGGTTCCAAATCAAGATATGCTGTGTGTTACAGAACTAAGCCAAGCTTCTGAGATGGAACTCGAGGGCACATTTCTGTTTCAAGTTCCTGGACACTAAAGTCCTTGGAGCCAGCAGAGGCTTCAAATAAAGCCCCAGTCTGTGTACAGATGAATCACCTGGTTAAGTGCAAACTTCTTGCATAACTGGCACTCCTTTATAATGAATTACTAGGAATAGAATGTGTGCTTTCTTAAATAAAGAAACTCTGTGTCAGAACTTAGCATGTTCTTTCAGTTCTTCATCCCCTGCCCTACTCTCTGAAGACACACCTTAGAAGGGGGTTTTACGGCACTTAGAAGAAGGTTCTTTTAGTTAACAGATCAACCACCTATTTGTTTTGTCTTTTTTCTCGTCGACGCGATGAGGGAAACAATCCTGTCTAAGATATGAGTAGGGCACTGCAAAGCCTTTGTCAGGTGTGTCTCCTCTTCATCCGTGACAATATGGGTGCTACTGACTCACCCTCCGGGAAGATGAAATCCAATCAACTCCTCTCCATTACTCACAGGACATGTCTGAAATAAAGTCTGTACTCAGGAAACTCACTGGATGAAGCACACAGCGTGATAGAGTGCTTAGAACAAAGGGACTGTTTCCTAATAGCAAACAGTTCTTTCCTAAGCAATGGAAGAAAGAACACCCAGAAGCAAGCAATCCATTTTTGGCTCCATCCAAGTGGACTATTATAGGGGAATAAGGAGACAGAGGAAAAATTGGCCCTTTACAAATCTACGCGAGCTCATGAGCTAATAATTCAGGGACACATTCTGCATGAAACTGATCATTTACAATCTTTTTTAAAGACTGAAAACAAATGGCTTCAACTGTAAAAGCCCCTGCCTTTTAAAATGATTGCTCCTTTAGCATAACAACAGAGATATATTCCTGTACATTATTGGGCTTTTGCTATATGATAATTCCCTTATGATAGGCAAGTAGCTTCAAGAGTGTTATCGAGTATCTTTGTAAAGTTATGAGGTGGGAAGGAAGGACACGGAGGAATAGAGTGAGTTCTGTGAAGTTAAGGGCCTAGGCCACTGAAGCCACATGGAGTAATTTAATCCAGGGACTCCTGGTCTCCTCTTGTTCTTTCCTCTTTGTAATCAACCTAGTCACTTCTTTATTCATAGAATATATCTGGTAAGGAGTGTTCATTAAGTAGTGTAACTTCCTTATTTGTGTCGGCTCTATCTCTATAAGGGAAGAAGAATGAGAAAAATGTCCCAGTGCTACACATCTCAGAACACCGTGAGTCCACACTGTGGAATGCGGCGAGGGCCAGTGAAGCCATTGGACTCACTGCCCTCGGTCTTAAAAGAACGCTGCTTACACCTCTGGGAAAGCGGAATTCTACTTCTTGGTTAATCAGCCACTAGGAAAACCAACCCTGGGAACACCAGACGCATCAGGAAAAGCCACAAATTCGTATATTCCGAAGTCACCCAGAGCATCTTCATGGCCTGAAAGGAAAAATGACACTACTTACAGAAGCAATGCTCTCCTCTGATATTTAAAAATTTGTGCGTTTATTTTTGTTTCTTTGGAATATCCAAAGAACTTATCTTTATCACCTGCTTTAAGTGATATGTGCATGAAACCATTTGATATTTCCTAGTGTCATATGGTCACATTGGCAGTGAATGGTTTTGGGAATAAGTCCTTCTCAAGAGGAAAACAGTAACTGAACTTCACTAATTATTCTCAAGGTCTGATGTGGGAGTATTGTATTACATACTCAAAAACACATATGTGGAGAAGATCAGGAATTTACGTATGCAGGCTTTAGTCTGTGGGCTCACAGCCATCTTTGTCCCACTCATATTATTTGTCCCACTCATATTATCTGCTGAGCCTCGATATATCCCACAGAGAACATTAGAAAAGAATGATGAATAACAGTAGCTACACAGACACCTTAAACCCAGTGCAGCACAGTAGGGACATTACCCAAACTTTATCTGGGGAATGAAGAGGGTGGAGGTGGTTGGGAGGAGCCAGATGGTCTTGGGACCCTTCCCCTCTGTGACATCCAATTACTGTAAGAGAGCAAAGACTAGATAAAGGGAGGAGCCATTTTCTTTTGTCATTAAGAGTCACATTGGGCTGTTCACATCATTTTATTTTAATTCTTCTAGCAGCCCCAGGAGGAAGGTTCTATCCCTGTTATATAGATGAGGAATATGAGGCCAAGAGTAATAGTTTTCCCAAGGGGAATGTCACAGATATGGGACTGAAGCCTGGCTTTCAGTGACACAACCATCCCGGCATAAGCTCCATTGTTAACTTAAAACAACTCAGTACAGAGTCAACAATGAAGGTAGTGACTGTTGTCTGGGGACAAAGGAGCAGCCCTGCCCCTGATTACACCTCCATTTCTTCCTCTATTTAGGATAGGGCTGTCAGTATTGTCAGTCCTCCAGAAACTACAGAGGCTTCCTTTGCTCTTACAGACTAATGCTGAGAGGGCTAATCGTGAGAATGGAGCAGAACTCAACTTCATTCCTCTGATCTTTAGTTGCCTTGTCAATATTTGGAGTTGCGAGTCTTTCCCTAGCTTATCCTACAGACCTGTGTGGCTCACATAAAGCCACCACAGAGACAGCAATTTGTCAAGGGAAGACATCAAGATTTGTGCTCATATCAGCTTCTATCCATTAGATTACACTGGCAGTGACATCTGTAGATATCCCTAGTAAACACTGATGATTAGGTGTTATACATAACTAAGGATAACACTCCCTTCTAGTCTGCCCATTACCTGAAAATGTTTGAGCTTTTCTGTACTCGGACTCTGGTCTGAAAAGACAAACAGATGTATTAATCAAGAATTATAATTGAGGTAAAGCATTTCAAGTTATTGTCACAGAAACATATACATTACCGGCCTTTTAGCTTCTGCCTTATAGCTAAAAACAAGAGAGGGGAAACACAGTAAGGTATCTTGTTTTTTTTTTTTTTGGAATGCTTCAAAATGTATTCTTATTTTAACCTACCTTTGCAAGGTTGATATTTTTTCCACAGAAAAAGAAGACACATGGATACAATCAAAAACACCGATATTCCAGTTATACTTGCTAATGGGGACAGTGATTTTCCTTTTTGTGCAAGCTTCTCCAGTCCTAAAAAATAGTAATAAATTACTGGATATTCTGAAATGCTTATGACTATTCTCTACTAAATAAGACATCATTGCCTGTGCTCCTCTCTCTCCCGTAGTCTCTCCTTCATCCCCAAAATGGATGGGATACAGTGATTTAAAACTTAAGCTCAAAACTCTCTGGGGACGTTTGTGCTTGGAGATGTGACAGGATATCTGGGGAACGCTGACAGGGTGTACCAGTCATAGAAAACTGTCGCTGTGTTCACCACCTTCCCATGTCTGCCTCAGCTCATTGTCTCTGCACCCTGAGATTCAGGATGCTATTGCTGCCTTCAGTCTTGATGTTTGAATGTGATTCAGGGGAGGGGTCTTCCCAGGGACGCAGCGGCATATGTTTAAGGATGTGAGAAGAGGGGGACTCATTTCAAATATACTCTGCTACTCTTTTAACCAATCAAACGCCAATTTTCCAACTAACGTGTACATGCAAATTTCAATAAAATGTTTCAAGTCAGGCCTGGCTCAGCTGGCAAAAGCACTCGGTCCAAACTTGGAGACCTACCTGGGATTGATACTGGAATCCACTGTGGAAGGAGAAAATTGTCTCCTGAAAATCATTTTCTGCCCTCCACGTGTGCACTGTAGAACATGTGAAGTGCCACACACACAGGCACACACCGATAGAATAAAAATTTTAAATGCAAAATCACATCTTACAACTAAAAGTCACTTTGTTTTGTAGGCCATTCCTTTTATGACTAGATGCATCTTAAGTCGGGTGCTAATAGCTATAACACACATGCTGAGGGTTTACAATATGCCAAGCTCTGTGCTCAGGATGCAGGATCCACAGTAACTGCTGAGTCGCCTTGGTAATCTTATTGGAGAACAAGTATATTATCATCTCTTCTGGATGAGGAAACTGAGGCTTGCAAAAGTCACTTAAGTTATAATGGTGGGAATAATCCCAGGCTTCTACTGTTTCATTCTGCCTCTTTCCAATACTGTTTGACACAACTTATTGATAGTGGTTATGTTAATACCAGCTGCAGGTTATGATATGTTTAGTCATATATTAACCTGTGTAGGAGGAAGTAGCTGTGACCTTTAACAAGCAGCTCGATATTCATGTGGGAATGAGTTGTGGCGGTTGCCCATCTGCCCAGACTGATATGGACTAAATTCATTAATGCCTCTTCCATTTCAGACATAGCCTGAGAATCTGGGTGTGATGGGGGGCACAGTAGCTACTCAGTTCTGCAGTAACTGCTGAGTCAGCATCCTTCTCTCCTTCCTCCATGAAGGTTCCGTTAGGTTCTCCAGGACTTGAAATGAGTGGGAGCCCTTAGTCATCCCCTTTTCCCAATATGGGGCTACCTAAAATCCTCTTGGTTTTCCCCTGCAGAACAATATCATTTAAAAATGTCTGGTCTTTTTCTACTGTAGCATAACTGGTAAACACCAAACTCTAGAAGGCAGGTTGTGGAAACCATGATACCCTCTCTAGTTTGACCATGCACTGCTGTTCTCATATGCTCTTTAAGTCTGAGAGACAAGGATGGTTTCTACTGAGAAAAATTCTGTGCCATTTGGGGTCACTGTGATCTTTTTAATGCTCCACCAATATTTATATTAATACCCTGCTTGTTCATCAGTGATGCAAGCAATTTCTCTGCTGAACTGGATTTTAATCAAACATTCATTTAATGTCTAATTTTGTCACATCATGGCTGAGTGTCACCATAGGCTAACTCACCAGTGTTGAAGCATTCTTTTGAAAGGGTCACTTTCCCTTTGGGAGACGTGTTTCCCCTAGACTAGTACCAAGGCCCTAACTTCTCCATTTTCATGGGAAAATTTCAACTAAAATTTTGTTGTTGTTGTTGTTATTATTATTACCGTGTGTGTATTTTACTTCTGTTCAAGGATCTGTGAAGGCCAGTGAAGGGCATCAAATCCCCTGGAGCTGGTGTTACAGGAAGTTGTGAGCATTCTGATCTGAATTTGGGCCCTTTAGAAGTGTTCCTAACAGCTGAGTTGTATCTCCAGCCCACCAAAATTTCAATTTTTAATAACAAACTTTAGATACTTCTGCCCTTTTTCCTCACAATATCCATACTATTAAAATTCAGAACCTCTAAACATAATTAAGTGCCAATTTATTTCATTACACAGAAAAACATCTTGGCTGTTTTTATTTTAAAATTAAAACTATGCCAATCCTGACTGTTTCAGACCACTCTTGGTTCACTCTGGCATCCATCATTTACCAGGTACCTCTATGATTCTTAAGCCTGGTAACGGGTTTAACACAAAACAATGGGCTGTCTGACCCTAAGACACAAAGGACACATTTCCCTGTCCTTCATTTTTCACTCTTCCTTCCTTTGGCAAGTAATCAGAGTTATAATTCTCTTCTACAGAGGGTCACAACCTTCCCATTCCTATTCTTCCTTGTGTCCTTAGACTTCCTTACTGCCCTCTGTCTCCTGTTGGCTCCTATTGGTCTGCAGTCAGAGACCCACCTTGTCCCTTGTTGTGACTGGTTCCTGTCAGTGCAAAAGCTTGGCTTTAGTGAAGGTCAGCAAATGACCATTTTCTGAAAACAGATGATGTTTCTTGCCTAGAGAGCCATGGGTCTCTGCCTTCCTCATCTAGAGGGTCTCTGCTCTTGTCCCCGTCTCTCCATCTAGAATGCACATCAAAGGGTGCTGCTGCTGTGGTCTCAGCCCTAGACAAGCATGTTTTTGCATAGATGAGCTTCCGAAACTCTGACTTGAAGATGTGACAATAGACAAATTTCAGTCTTATTGCCCAGAGTATATATTGGGACCTCCAAGGCAGGTCTGGGCACTTGGAAGAGCTCCCTTCTCTCTCCTTTCAGAGTTTATGTTATTCATTTGGACATAGCATGCCATCCTTCCCACTATTTAAACACAATCGACTCTTTTACCAAAGCCAGAGTGCAAATGATATTTGCCCCCTCCTTAAGCAAACAAATAAAATGGAATAACATGTTAAGGGTAAATATAGGCAAGAGGTGTGGTATCCATGGTATCGCTACCCTGCTGTTTGAGGCTGCACCCCAAACAGGACAGCCATATGCTGCATAGGCAGTGCGTCTATTTCTAGATGAGAATGGAGCCCTGAGAACTCTTTCATCCAATCTGTTCCCTAATTATGACAGCTGCCTCATGTCCCCACGGAAATGAATATGCCACACTCTGGGCTGTGTTACCTTCACAGTCCTCATGGCCCCGTTTGACAGACACAGATCTTCTGTGGTAGGTTCTCAAGCAGCTATCATCATAAAGTCTCGGGATCCAGACATCAAAGTTAAGGTTGTATCTCAATCTGTGTCTTAACTGACCCAAAGTTGAGAAACTTGTAGCTAACTAGGGAAAATGAATAAGTTTCTCTTCCTGGCTTATGTTCTTTCCTACTTTCTATTGAAAAGATTTGCATTATAATTTTGGAATGATTGATCTATCCACATTACTTATAAATCTAAAACACATCTATTTTAGATACCTCTTAAACTATGTCCACGTGTCCTTAGGGACTTGAATATCTCATTAAATACAAACCTTTAAATTCCAAGCAGATGGCTACATTCCCGTGTGTGTGGTGTGTGTGTGTGTGTGTGTGTGTGTGTGTGTGTGTGTGTGTGTGTGTGTTGTGTGTGGTCATAGTAGTAATTTAGGTTCAGCCAATACTTTAAAATATGAATATCCATATATTCAAAAAAGTCCTTAATTAGGTAGTAAAATCATTACTTTCAAATATAAATGCTAACTTATTATTTTAATGTCTATTATTTCCTTGAAACAACTAGATATTACTTTAACTATAGATATTCCATTGCTTCTCATAGGTATGAAATAGTATATCTTGTGGACAAAGTATCTGCATTTTTATACATTAAATTAGCTGAGAAAATTATTCAAGGAAACTTCTTTAAATAAAGATATCCATATTTTAAGTGGATATTTAACTATTGTTAGATGCAACATCTACACACTGCTTCATACTCATGATCCTATATGTATTGATTAAAGGGACAATACTCACATCAATAGCTTAGTGACCTAAGAAGAGTAAAGTTTCTGAGTTTGTTAAAAGGAAAGGATTTGAATTCAGATGCTATCTTGTCATACATTTGCTGTGTGACTCTGCCAATTGCCTCTGTTTTCTTTAGATATCTCCGCTGAGTTACAGAAAGGTCAATTAAGAATATCTCAAATTAGGTGTGAATCATAGCCCACAGAGATGGAAGTCCCTATCTGTACAGCTTCACACAGGTTGAAGACAGAGAGCTCATTGTCACATTCTCTAGCTTTCCTCTCCTTAACTGAAAATCGCCACTAAAACTTTTGATTATATCCTGGCCTTGTTATTTAATTTCTGTGTCTGTGACCCCTGGAGTCATCTTTGACTCCATTTCCTTCCCCCTCTACATCGTATTGCTGAGACTTCAAAGCAGTTATATAGTTTTGCCTCATTAAAAATAAAGATTCATCTATTTCCTGCAAGTTGACTCTGGTGACACAAAACTTCAACTTGATTCTAGAAACATCTTAAACACAAATATCCCATCCTTACAAACGATTTCAAATTCTCTACAAGTCTCAACACAGCTTGTTTGTCAGAATGAATTGTCTACAAGTGTTCTTATGACCTCGTAAGCAATGGTCATGTGTGTCAGTTCGTGTGTGCCTAATGTGTTGCTGAAATTAATTCATTTTGAAACAGAAACATTGAGCACAACACATCACATCCACACTAGTGATTTTCTTCCTCTTTTTTACTATTGTTGGACTCAAAGTTCTGTGAACCCTGAAGATTGGAAAATAGCTATGAAAAACCACAATGAGGCCACTAATGTTGACAATCCTGGATCACTCTGGAAAATGAGCACCTGTTCTCCTTATTTACTACAATAACAAATTCCAGGCTCTGTACAGGTCAAACAGGTTTTTGAAACTTTGTTAAAGACAATTTTCTGACATGAAGACTGTAGCTGTCTTTTGTAATAAGACCTTAGTCAAATACTAGGGGCTTCTGATAATATGAATACTTACTGGCTGAGTACTAATGCAGAACGTTTAAGAGGTGAGAAAGTAATATACTACTACATATTATGTTTATATTTTCACTTGCAATGAGCATAAAGCACAAATCTAACTTGATACCAAGATCCCATCACACAATCCTATATAAGCTTTGGTACACACACACACACACACACACACACACCTTGTTTTAAACTAAATTTCAGTCTGCTGCATGGTGAAAATCTTGTTGAGTCTATAAAAATATAGTAAGTTATAAGGCAAAGATGTTCTTTAGTTGTCTGTATGTTTGACATATTACATTCTTATCGGGCATTATTATCAGGGTTTGTTTGATTCTGAGTGCCTATCTCTTATAATAGGTGCCAAGTAATGGATGAATGAGTGCTATTTTTAATCATTTTGAACACATATGCTTTGGAGGGTCTACAAAGAAAATCTATTACCCTTTACTGCCCCAGTGAAGCACAATTTAGGTAAGAATTTTGTAGCTTTATTCTTTACTACACTAGGTACTAGGAAGATGTAGTTGTGCATAATTTAAACCCAAATGAATGGAGCTTAAATAAAATTAAATTTTTTAACCCTTAGTTGTTCAGCCATGTTTGAATTACTGAAAAGTTAAGTAGGGCAGAAGCTGCCATATTGAAAGTGATGACATTGGCAGTTTCTTCCTTGCACAAAGTTCTAAGAGCAACAATATTTTAGGCAGTATTGTCTTCCTCATAAAAATGTTCATGTAAAGACAGTATATGCATTGCAATGTCCTTCATGCTTAAAATATGAATGCCTTAAATCTCAAATAGTTCTAAGAGAACACACATTTCTTCTTTGACACATAGGCTTCACACACTTTGATAAGTCTTTGCGACTCTCTAAACTCTTTTTAACGAATTAAAAACTTACTGGAGGGAAAAACTTACACAAATAGTTGTCACACTTGTATTAAATATTATTTGAGTTCAAACAATGGCTGGAGCTCCTGACCCAGCATGTCTGGGGTGTCTTAAAAAACAATTTGTTTGTTATCTATTTGAGACAAGCTCATGCTATACTCCATGCTGGCCTTGAAATTGACAGAGGATTCATCTGCCTCAGCCACTTGAGGAACTACATTTTTGAAAGCAAACTGCCTAGGTGATTCTGATGCAAGCAACTAAATGGCTGTAGACGGCATGCTTTAGCCAAAAGATTAAATAATACCTGTGTAAATAGGCATTTTATTCTTGCTTCCTTTATCAAACACAATATACTGAGCTCTGTATTATGTGTCTCATTCTAGGCACCAGGGATATTGATATGGAACAGAAGACATCTTCAGATTCATGGTTATTAAGTTTTGTACACTTGTTTCTTAACCAATGCAGCCATCTAAGTCATTGTTTCCTTTTCAGACCTGTAGGTTCTTCTTCAAGTTGGAACTGGTTTGACTTTTTCTGTATGCAAGAATGCTGAACATAACAGAGAAAATAATGGAAGAGTAAAAATAGGAAAGGGAGAAAGGAGGAAAAGGATGAAGGGCAATAAAGAGGAAGACCAAGTAGATTTGGGAGGTGGAACCATAGACTAGACAGAACTTGGTGGCTGAGTGTTCAGGGCATATAACAGGAAGGAAGAGTTTGAGTGACGTTTAGTTTTCTGCTAAGCTGGGAGGTTACAGGGAAATTCACTTAACAAGTGGGGGTGTACAGACAGAATAGTATGAAGGAACAAGGAAAAGGGCTCAGTACTGCTCATTTAGACTTACATTCTGCCTTTAGAAACTCTGAAAGAGGCGTCTAAGAAGGCAGAAGAGGGTACAGCCTTAGAGTTTTGAAGATAAACATGAAAGGTGGCCAGTGTTACAAGACATTATGGGAATGAGTAAAACGGAACAGGAAATCATATCATAGAACAGAGCCACACTCCACAGAGAAGCTCACAGGATGCGAGTTTGCTACACATCCCTAACAAGCTGTGATTCTCAACCTTTTGGGCCACAACATATCTAAGATGCAACTTCTAGAGAATGCCAAATTTTATAGATTTATGAAAGTTTGTTTCTACATGGATGAGGCTCTTGATAGATATTTCTATTGATCGCAGGGATGACAAGGATGAAAAACAGAAGAGGAACCAGTGAAGACCAAGGAGCAAGTGGAAAAGTGAAAAACCATGACCCCAACTCATCCCTATTTGTTCTTCTAACTTAATTTAGCAGTACACATAAAACCTTAATGGAGAAACCTATTCCTTTTATGTTTCTGCTTTCAAAATCAGGAAAGCAATAACACATATTTAGAAGTAATTTACTGACTCCTCATAGGTCCCTGAATCTGGCTTTTGAATGTCCATCCATATGGTTTTGAGTTTTTATTGTTCGAGCCCCCAAATCCATGGCTTAGTTAACTGAGAGAAGAGACCATTCAAACAACAGCAAAATTATGTTCTCTTCTCCCTAGGCATCTGGGAAGTTGAGGCTAGCTTGCCTTCATGTTTTATAAAGGTTTGTACTTTGACAGACTTACCTATGGAAGTGATGATGACAGTGAAACGAGTTTCATCTCGCCTTCCTGTTATGTTGTTGTAAGCACAGCACATGTAGTCAGTGGTCTTCTGGGCCACTTTCTCAGATGCCACTTCTAAACGAGGCCCATGTTTAATGACATGCGTCGTGTTGTCAGATCTTCGGATCCAGGAGTAAGTGTTGGGAGGGTAAGAATCGGCAGAACAATCAAACAGGATGGCTTCTCCTAGGTCAACAGTGAACACTTCTCCCACTTTTAACCCCTTATCAGAATTAACTTGAAGTCCATAAGGTCCATCTGTATTAAAGAAAAAAAGAGAGGGAGGGTTGTGTCATGTAAACAGTCACACAGTTTCAGGGATTGAAGAACTTAGTGTCAATTTACTTTGTTTTAAAGTCTTCATGTAGACTTGAGACAATAGACCCTCGTTTAAACCCCCAATCAGATCTCTCTCTCTCTCTGTCTCTCTCTCTGTCTCTGTCTCTCTCTCTGTGTTTGTGTATGTATGTGTGTATGTGTGTTATTCTGATATTCACAAAAATGGGAAGTACCTGAGCCCACATATTTGTAATAGTTAAAGGCTGAAACTTGTGTTTGCAGATTTACAGACACTGCCATCATCAGTATGGGGCTAAGCTTTTCAGTGCCATATTGATAAGTGCACACTGTTGCTAGGCAACCTCTGTCTTTCTGGAGTAGGGATTACACTTGAAATAGATATTATTTTCTCCTTGGCAAGCATACTTTGAGAAGTGTCTGCTTTTCCTCTTAATGCCAGGTCATACAAATATTTATCAAAGACACAGAAGGAACATAGATTTGTGTAAATAGGTAGAGAGGTGTTTCAGATATTCTTAAGATTTTAGCAGGTTAAAAAATCCTTCTAAGTGACAGATTCCATTACACACACACACACACTCACTCACATACACATACTCCCACACACTTACACTCACACACACTCAATGATGTATCTGTGTCATTAACAGATATTCATTGAAAAATTAAAAAGCTATTTAACCATGGCTATTTGGCTGTGTTTTCCCACATTTCACACCTAGGACACTCCCTCTGTCATTAGACTGGATGAAGACATTTTCTGCATGGTTTCTTGTAGAGAATAAGGAAAATATTAAAACTATTTCCCAGAAGCAGAAACAGGCACCCACAGTTAAACACTGAGCCCTACTCCTGGAATCCAGTTGCGGAGAGAAGGGATGAGCAAAGGGGCCAAGACTGTCCTGGAGAAACCAGCAGAAACAGCTGACCTCACCTAGTGAGAGCACAGAGACCCTAGTCGCAAACCTGGGGAACCAGTATTGGACTGAACCAAGCTCTCTGAATGTGGGTGCCAATTGGGAGTCCTGGAACCTCTAACAGTGGAGCCAGTGTTTATCCCTAGAGCACAAATGGACTTTGGGAGCACATTCCCCACGGAGGGAGACTATTGCAGGCCCTCCCCCATATGATGTGACAGACTTTCTTGGTCCCCCGTGGAGGGCCTCACTATCCTTGGAGAGTGGGTGGGGAGGTCAGTGGGGAGCATGGGAGGATGGGAGGACCAGGGAATGGGGGGTTGATATGTAAATAAGAGTGTTTCTAAAATTAAAAAAATATTTCCCAGATACAAAGTTTCTCCTCTAGTCTAAGTCATTTTGGGCATGGCTATACTCACTTTTCACTTGGCATTAATTAACATTTGCTAGACACTTGCTTTGGAAAGGGATTCTATGTAATTAGATTTATAGTTTACATTTTATATTGAAAAAACTTCATGAGACAGATGTTATTATTCTCATTATAATAGTATTAAATGTAATTTCCCATAGTCACATGATTATTAGACAGCAGTATTATGTAACTAGTCAAACAAACATTTAGTTAACAAATTTTTGAGAAATAATAAGTATAAAATAATCTGTATTCATGTATTTAGGAGTATATGTGCATATTTGTGACCATTAAAAAATAGGCCATGAATTTGAAAGTGATCAGGAGGTGCAGAAGTTGGAGATAGGAACAGAAATTATAAAAGTTATAATATGTTTAGAACACAAGAGACATAAACAATTTGCATTGTTAAGGAATTTACAAACTGGACGAAGTGCTCAGTATTGTCATTTTCTTTTTAAAAACTGCCAATAGCTGTCTCTAAAATATGTAATCATGTGATATAAGGACTAGATTTTAAGGTAACATTTTTTCTCAATCATGAATTAATTGTTCTTTGGAAGTTATTTATACTTTTGGGATATTTTCATCTTTAATATAAAAATATGGATTAGCTAACTGCCAAAATGATCTATGTATTTGAAATTATGACAAAAACTTTGTGTTATACTCTAACATTTGGGGCTATTGGCAAGCCATTCTTAATTCTGTAGATCCTCAGAGTGGTTCTTCATTGCGCCATCATTTTTCTGACCCATCTAACACTGTGAAGACAAGTTTCATGAGATATAACAGAAATTGGAAACACTTTATAGATTATATTTAGTTAGACAGCATGTTTTCTTTCTGAAGACATAGGGAAATGTGAAACATCCCCACAGTGTTCCATCACTATGGTTATGCCCGTAAAACCACTATCAGAAAGAAAGACAAGCTAACTTAGTCCTTGGTATCCTGAGCAGTTGGTTACAGGACCCACTCTGGAAAGACATATCTGTGAATGCTTAAGTGCTCTATAGAAAATGGTGTACTAATTGTATATTATTTACATATATCCCCCTGGAAATTTTTGCATGCTTAGATTACTTATGACACAGAATACAATGTAAATGTTCCAAAAACAGTTGTTATGCTTAGTTCTCTAGGAGATGATATGAAAAAAATCTGTGTATGATCAGTTCAGGCTCAATTTTTTTGAATATTTCAATTTGGCTGGATCTGGTGACGTAAAATGCATACATACGGAGTGCGGGCTTGTTTCATATTTAAAGCAATCAGACGATGGAGATAGATGATGATAATAAGGAACCGTGGATGCCCCTTTCTGTGCGCGACGTAGGGCTTGCCACACTGCCCTCTCATTTCAGGCTATGATGCAGTCTCGGCAGAAGTCTCTGTGAGAAGGGGCTAAGAACAGTGACGCTCAACCTCGTATTCTGAGCTCTGCTGAGGAGGGAGCCGTATATCAGGAACGAGAAGTTGCTTTTACTGATTCAGAAAAAAAACAACCTCAAGGTGTACTTAGGCACAATACTTCTCTAGGCATCATAGGAGGAACTGGGATGTTGCAAAAATGGCTTCCAAGACCGTGTCTTCCGCTCTGTGCTGCAGCAGAGACTCTTCCTTCAGGATGCCAGCGCTGATGAGATGTAAGAGAGCAGGGGGCCACTAACTGCTTCAATTGAAGAAAAGCGATGGAAGGAATGGTGTGCGGATTGAAAGCACGGGGGATCTATGCTCGTGTGCGTGATGTAAAATCTGAGAGCCATCTTAGAGCCGAGCAACACAGGCTTGAAAAAGAACACAAGAGTGATCATAAAAATAGGGTCTTTTCCTGCAGCGATTTTATAACCAGCCCAAGAGTTCCCCTCATTCTATACACATATTTGGAAACTGCCCAGGAATAGGTTGTGGCCTCATCTTTGGTGACCTAGGATTTGATAGTAAAGTTGCCACTTAACCTGGAAGTTGGTCTGAACTGAGGTGTGAGATCTCTGGAGTTCTGCAAAGCTGAGAGCCTACAGGAGTGGAAGGGGAGGGCTGGCAACATGGTGTCATCAGAATTTCAGGAACTGAAGAATATATGCTTGGTTAAGCATTCCCACAAACAGCCACTGAGTGCTGCACGCCAGTCATGAATGTGGTGACCCAGTATACTGCACAGTGATAGGCTGCTAGTGCTTTGCATGTGGAAGACACAAGTGGAGTTCTAGAAATTTCCATCCTGGGGCCCTGCTTGATCAGCAATATCTTGGGCCTCACAAATAAGGGACTTCATTCCTGAGTGCCTGTGTCTGATTGTAGGCCTGTCCACTCCAATTTGTCGTTTTTTTCAATAAAAACGTTTGAGGAAAAAGAGAAAAGAATAGGGTCTTTCTGTTTTGATCTTCCTACTGGCTTCCAGAGTTTACAGAATGTGCCTATGAAAGCAAGTTGTTACATAATCTCACATGTGAATGACCGTGGAGCCTTTTGAACTGTGCCAATCTTCTTCACAACTCTGGGAGGAACTCTCCCTTGGAATTGTCTTAAGATCTTGCAATATATTTGAGTGCTCCCACAGATAGCATTTCTCTGGTCTTGGAGGGTGGGTCGACACTGTAGAGGAAGTCCATATTTAGAGCCATAGTTGGTAAGTCGATAATTTAATAAAATAACTAGTTTTAAGTAAAGCATACTTTGGAATACGAGACTCTGACTATGCAGAGTTCTTCTCTCCTCGGGTCTGTTGATTTTGCGATTTCCTTGTTTGCTGGGTTTCACAGTTGGCATCGTCTCTTCTCTTTGCCTTATGTACACCATATCTAGCTTCTCATAGTCAGTTTCACACCTCTCAGTCCTCTGCACACATCCATGCCTAGCATTTCTTCCAATTCCCAGAAACTAATACTTAGAGGCGTTTGAATTCATGACTTTTGATACGATTTTATCAATTTTACATTTTATCTGGTTATAAAAAGGAAACGCATCTTCACTGCAAAAGTCATAAAGTAGAGAGGCATACCAATGAAAAGTTATCTTTTAATTTTTATTTTATGAGCATTGGTGTTTTGTCTGTATTTTACGTCTGTATGAGGGTGTCAAATCACTTGGAGCTGGATAACAGGCAGTTATGATCTGTCATGTGGGTGCTGGGAATTGAACCCAGGTCCTCTGGAAGAATAGCCAGTGCTTTTAAACAATGAGCTGTCTCTCCATCCCCAAAAGTTATCTTTAATTTTCTTAAAGAGCCAACATCTGTACAGTCATCTAGATCTCTAGTCACAGCTCCCTCTTTCCCATTATTTTCTTCCAACTCCTCTTTTTCCCATGTCTGTTCCTCCCTCACCCCTTCCTATGTGCCTGTGCTTCGGGCCGTGTCTGCCGGTTTCTGTGTTTCTCCCTCTTATACACACAAACACACAGGCACACAACTTCATCTTACGCTGTACACACTGTTTACATTCTCTTCTCCCTTGACTCTATGAAGATGTGATTATCTCTACGCTGGTTAGCATGTCAGCACTTCCAAGTGAACCTTCTTCTATTCTGAGGTAGAGTGCAGACACATTATTCAAGCGAATGGGCAGCCCTGTAGGAGTCTTTTGGAGTGGCTGAACTAGAGCAGCCTTTGATATAGATAAAAGCAGATGGATAACTCCATTTGGCTTTGGATTATGTCTCACCGTCTTGCCTTTGGCAGAACACTCTCAATGGAAATGAACTCTTTGCCTTGGGGATGGCTGTTTACTAAATGACTTGTAAAATCACATATCATCTGTTCTCTTTAACAATTTATGACTGGGTGGGAACAGTACCTAAGTTTCCATCATGATGCTGCTGGCCACCCTGCAAGGAAGCAGATGGTAAGTATTTACTGTAAATGACCTTTTCCCCCCTCTAATTTCTATCACTCAGAGTATTCCCTGCAGCAGTGCCATGTGTTTCACACAAAAAGTAGTGGTTATTGGGTTATTATTTACAGCTGGAACTAGAAGGCATTTACATTTTGTAGACCATAAGTAGGTATTTGCTGACTTTTTACTTGGCATTGTATTCCACCAAGGCTAACACTAGATTATGATACCATGACCCAATGAACTTACTGAATAGATTTTGTTAAAACTTTTCTCTAGCAATGAAAAAACTTACTGCTTTGCACGAAGAAAATGTCACAGAAACAATGACAGCAGAATAAATGATTTATGATGGCCTTCTAAATCATGATGTGGATATTTATGGGAGAAATTGGAACTGACAGTCACTTGGTTATTGATTGACCTTTGTCTGACCACAGAGCCATGGGGTAAAAGTCGGATCTAGAGCATGATATGAATAAAATAACCTATTCTATTTTGGTCAGGTTAAACAGAGTTTAACCAACAGTGTCAAGTATTGCCCTATTAAACTAAAGATGCTCAAGCAATGCGGAGCTCCTAGGAGAGTTCGTTGTACTGGTACATACAGTGGGGAAGAGTCAAGGAGGACATACTGTAGTGAGGACCAGAGACAGACGCATACAGGATGCTGTGTTTGCATGGAGAATTGAATGTCTTAGTGACACTGAGGAGATGAGACTAGGCCAGGACAGATGGCCTTTTCAGTAGGAGACAATAAAGGAAAAGGAGTAATCACATGCAAGTGGAGCATTGGGGAACAGCATTAAACAAGGAAAATATTCCTAATGTACATGGAATGAGAAACCGGCGGACACCTTGATGCCACACTGATAGAAAATCAGTGGCAAACCCTTATGCATGTTATTTAAACCTTGTCACCTGAAACGAAGCAAACAAAGCAAAACAAAAACAAGTGATAAAACGGGGCTGAAATCCTGATAGCAAAAGAAACTAATAATGAGTCTAGGTTGTACTTCTAGGTCATATGATAGATAATTGCTGAGACAAGAAAATCTTGGGGACATGGCTTACCTTTGATTCAGTCTGTCTGTTCATAGTTTCTTTCACCTTGTTTACATAGCTCTCATGTTTAGGTTTGTGCTACTTGTATTTGAATTAAAGTTTTAAACATGTGCCACAGTAAGTTGCTTAGTAAAGAAATACATGTATAAATCAGCTACACTGTTTCAGAATCTTCCCTATAATCCTACACCAATTGTGCAACATTGCTGTAACTTATGCTTTCTCTGTGAGTCTGTTGCCTCTGGTTTAGAAGCAGACAGAACATTCTCACAGGGCTGTCTGAAAAGGCTTTTTAAAACCTTCAAGGCTTATGAATTAAACCTTAGAAGTAATTTGCCACGGCTAAATACAACTCATGTACCCCGGCTCATGACTGCAATCTCAGTACACAGGAGGCTGACCTTAACCTCAAGCCCGGGCTACATATTAAGTACCAGGCCAGCCTGGGATGTAGAACTGGATGGTGTCTCTAAAACAGATGAGCAAACAAACAAAACACACCATGATTTGCCTTAGCCCTTGAAAACCATGCTTACTTCCTCTCTGTGACTGGTCTCTTGTTGCCATCTGGGCCTGTGATGGCTTTCCAGATCCTTCCCTTGCTCAACCATGCTCATTGTCACACGTCCGCTCAAATGCCACATAGGAAAGGAGACTTCTCTTCAGTAAGAAGCAATGTTCCCTGTGTTTGCATTTAGTTAATGCTGGTATGCACTGATGGAGGACAGGGATGCTTCTGAGTCCAGGACAGTCCCACTGCAGAGTTAGCCTGTCCCCAAATGTCCCTGTTCCAAAAAGTTAACAAACCCAGTGCTACACTAAACTTTCCATATAACATTAAGCATATTAGAGAGTAGGTGAGATGACTCTGTGAGTAAAGCAGATTTCTTTTAAGCCTGACAATCTGATTTTCCTCTCCCAGGACTTAATATCAGCTAAACACACACACATACACAATAAATAAATAGATAGATAGCTAAATAAATAAATAAAATCATATTACAGGTAAGCTCTGCAGTGACTAGAAAAATAACAGAATGAGGAAAAGGAGGCACCTTGGTTGGGGTTGTGATGGTAACATGATACAAACTGAAGAGTTCAATACATTTCATTTGCACATGCGATTCAATGTCAACAATGCAAGTAATTACTGATTTTCTTGGGAAAACACTTGAGATTGCTCAGAGTGAATTCTCCCTGAGCCTTTCTTTCGGAAACCAGAGAATCATTTCTTGGCCTCTGGCGAAGACTGAGTGTAGAAATGGTGGAAAGAAAACAGGCATAGAGAGCGCCTGTCCTTTAGGGAACTCTCCCATGAATAACCCAGTGTCCTTTAGGGCACTCTCCCACGAATAACCCAGGAGCGTTTCTTTTTCATGCACTCAACGGAACACAACCCACTCCTGAGTTCACATCATTTCCTCTTCCTTCTGGAAGATGAATGGATCAGCAGCTCTTTGTGGTACTGGATTCTTGGGATTGAGAATCCCACTACACAGGAGATCACCTAATGGTTAGAATCAACTTGATCTTCAAAAAGTAAAGTTGTGTAAGTAGACATATTTCCTGACCAGACAATGCTTAGGTGACTACAGCAAGTGCCGAGTTACAATAAGACCAAATGACATCTAGTGCTGATATTATTTATGCCTACTCCTGTGAGACCTTCCCATAAGTATAGACATAAGAAAAAGAAAAAAAGTTACTTACAATATATAGTGGGCGTAATGATGTCACTTTCCTCCTCACTGACGGGGTTTGAGACAAGGCAGCTGTAGTTCCCAATGTCCTCCTTTGTCACTGGAGCAATCCAAAGGGTGTTGTTTTCGGGAGAAAGGGAGTGACTGGAGTTGATGCAAACAGGTTTCCCATTTTTTCGCCACTGGTAAACTAGCCTGGTACCCCCTGGCACCTGGCAGGTCAAGGTAATGTTGCCCACATACTCCACAGCCCCAGAAGCAGGATGGGACTGGACCACTGGCTTCATGACGGGATCTGTAATATCAAGAGCATAGAAATGTTTCTTTGGCATCCATGGAGCTATGATAAAACTCTAGAAGATTTTCCAATATTGAGTCTCGGGGAAATGATTCCAACATTTTAATATGTTTAAATGGAGATAGCTTGGGTAACAGTTTAAAGAGGATCTTAAAAAGTCACAGAAATTTAAAAATGGTGAACTATGAAATATATTTATACAGGTAGAGCTAATAAAATTCTAGAACTTGAATCCAAGTATTGACAATTAAACTTTTTATATAGTTAGTGGTTGAAAGACCAGAATTCCACTTTCTTATTCCTCATGCTTTCTCTACCATCAAAGCTCCCCCCACCCGCCCATGTGAACTTAAGAACTCATACAAGTTAGGAAGATGCTTATCTGCCATGACTCTTATAGTCAAAATGTGTATAATTATTTCCCTTTCTTGACTTGCAATGTACCAAAAGCACATGGCAATAAGGGATGTGGCAACCTCAAATTTTTAACCACCATCTGAAAACTAAATTATACAGTTCATGTATGGCATACTTTTGAAAGTGTGTAGATATTTTTGAAGAGTGGCATATCACAATTTCATTAACAAACTAAAGTCTACATTTCAGTCAACAAACAGTGAATCAGTTTGGCAGTAGGATATGATATATTGCTGAGACCTTATTAAATTTGAAATATAAAAGGCAAATCCAATAGAAATTCCTGTTAGAAGTAACAAGAAACAAGCTTTATTTTATAACTGTGGCTCTCAGCAGGCAAATGGATAAACATAAAAGAACACAAGTGTTTCTTCACTGACTTTCAGCTCTAAGTTCGTGGATAAAGTTGGTAATTACATATGCACTCACTATCATTTCAGCAAATATCATCAGTCTTCCAAGTTCTGCACCCTGTTTAATAAAATAGTGACTCGTGGGCCAGCAAGATGGCTCAGTGGTAAAGGCATTTGTTGTCAAGCCTGAGTTTGATCTCCAGATCCTACGTGGTGGAAGGGGTGAAACTACTCCAGCAAGTTATCTTCTGAGCTCCACATGTGCTCTGATGCATGCCCGTGAGCCTGCACACATGTGCAGTGCTCTCCTCCACGTAAATGAATAGATAACAGATTTAAGAAAAAGACATCAGAGTTAACAGCCTTCATTGGCAAATAGAAGAGGCCTTTATACCTGTCAATGATTTTTCCTGCGTTTTGGAGAGACAGACATTACTAGCCTCCAACTCTGTAAGCTCACAGAGCAGAGAGAGGCTAATGATGTAATCCATAGGTAGCTCATGACTGGATCCAGTACTTTAGGCTTTGATTGCCCATCAAGTGTCCAGTTGAATCTTCCTCAGACAAATTTATTGTGTATCGTCATTACATTTTTTTTTCTACAATGGAAACTGCATCGGGGTGCAGACAGACCTTATTCTCCAGGCCAGGGGAGACAGAAAAAAATGAAAGATAAGGAAAAACGAGGTGGAAGCAACCTGGAGGGGAGCTGAACAACTTGGAAATGTCTGACATTTTTCAAGGCAGATGTCGTTTGCTGGTTTGTTCATTTAATTCAATCCTTTGTCTTTCCTGGCAAGAGCAAAGGGTTTGCAATAGCATCTTGTGTGTGTTATTATGTTTTCAAAAGAAAAATGAATTGTGTACAGTGGTCAAATTTAAAAACACCTCAGACATCTCTGTGTAGGGATGTATATAATATGAGGTAACTAAGCAACAAGGTAACTGAGGAGAGCAAATCACTGGAATAGTCATCCATATCATACACTTGCCTGGAACAAACCTGGTTTCCCCTTTGAAAAGGTTTTGCTTAGGTTCTTAAAGCCTGTTTTCTGCAATTTTTTTGGTTTCCTTTCCTTGAACAAATCCAATGTTCCAATTCATAGGTAAGGGCTGTCCTACTAAAGCTCCTATGAAAAACTGTTGCAGGAGAACTTTATGAAAACTCTTGTTAGTTGTAGCTTCACTTTTCCTACAGTTACTTTGCGGATATCTGATCTTACAGACATTATCTTAGTCCCCTGCAACCTCCTCTATCTCTCTCCTGCCTTCTTACTCCACAGGGGTTACTGAGTCTGCTGTGGCCAGTGCAGTCTGAGCATTGAGAAGAAAGCAGAAGGGACACAGACAAGGCTCCTTTCCCTACAGACCACATGTTCTACTCCTGGAAGAGAAGCAATAAAAATTAAATACAGATACTATTTACAGGTGATGGTAGGTTCAATGCAAGTTCAATAAACAAAGAGAAGAGCAGAACTGAAGTCAGTGAACTCTCTCTCTCTCTCTCTCTCTCTCTCTCTGTGTGTGTGTGTGTCTGTGTGTGTGTGTGCGTGTGTGTGTTTGGGGGCTAAGATGATATTATTTGTACAGAGTGAAGAGAGGTCAGAAAAGGCTTCACAGACATGGCAATTGAGAGATGTCTAAAAGAAACAAAGGAGGTGATATTTGGAATAAAAGCTGCCTAGACAGAGTGAATAGTGAGAACAAAGGACCAGAGTTGTGAGTGTATTTATCTTGTTCAAGGAAATGCAAGGCACCAGTGTGGCCAGAACAGAGAGTACAGTGGTCAGAGGTGGAGAATGGGATCAGACGCGTTCTGGGTAAGCTGGGCCCTGAAGATTATTGTCACTACTTTGACTCCCATTTTGAGTGCGACAGGAAGCCAGAGGATGCAGGAGCAGAAGCAGAGAGGCCAGGGCTGGCAGTTTCGGGGACAGTCAGGGATGTGGCCAGCAAGGGGTAGGTGGAAGCAGCGGGAGTTGGTGTTTAAGGTGAGCCAATGAGGTTTTCTTTCAGACTGGGTGTGTGTTATGAGAAGATGGGTGGTCAATGATGTATGCGAAGCCTGAGCCTGAGGGAGTAATAGATCAATTTAATACTTACTAAAATGAGGTATATTGTCAAACAGAAAGGAGACAGAAAAATAAGAAATTGAATTTGGTGCACAGTTCAAGGTCTGCCACCTCTAAATTTTAATAAGAAATTTAAAAACCACCAAATGCCTGAAAGTTAGCTAGCTCCAGTCTCCCTCAGCAAACAGCTTCTCAAACTTCTATTGTCCTTACATAAAGTCCTTGACTCATCTTCCCCTGAATGTTGTAACAAATAAAAGTCTTCATGACACTAAAAATAGGGGCCTCCCCAAACCAGAAAATAAAATGTCCATAGTCCATATCTTACTCCTTCAGCAGCTTTGTGTAAGTCCCAAGAAACAGTAAGTTTCTCTTGTTGCTTGAAGGTCTGTTGCTGGGCACTGGGCACCTCCCTTATGTACATATCTAACTAAATCTCAGGAAGTCTTATGAGGTAAGTAATGGTATCAGGGGCACTTTGAACATCAATTAATTCACTCAGAGTTTGGAAGGTCCAGAACCTTAAAGCCCAGGAAGCTTGGCACCCCCTAGCCTCTGCTGACCCGACCTAACCTCTTCTACTGTCCCAGAGTACTCACCATCAACGGTGACTTGTATCTTCTGACTTGAGGACAGAGTTCCGTTTCCTTGGATGTTGACCTTCACAATGTAATTGCCCTCATCGGAGAACTGCAGCGGATTGATGAGGAGAGATGCGTTGGGTGGCATCATGGTGAACTTGTGCTGGTATTCCAAGTCGGGAACCACAGACTCATTCACGGAGCCCAGCAAGTATTTGGGCATCGTGTGGGATCTTTCGAACAGCCATATAATCTGGATGTCAGAGGCTGCAGTGTGGAAGCCATAGTGCACGGGGAGGTAGAGGGCCTGCCCCCTGATGCCGTGGACAGTGTGTGAAGGAACGGTCACCTTCAGCCCCGAGCAAACACCTGCTACGAAGGAAAAGAGAACTGTGAGTGCCCTGAGCCACATCTCATAATACAAAGGTACGGTTGCAGAGAGAGCCCAGATGATAGTCCCTTTCAAAGAAGAAGGCTTCTCAGTATTAGCTATTCTAGTACCAGTTACAGGTAGAGGTAAATATTTATCTTTGAAACCTTCTGCACTTGAAAGACTACACCCAGTGACTATGCTGGTTGTATGACTTCTCTAAAGACAAGGCAAAAAGGAGAAGCAGAAGCTATTATCTCCTATCATTATAGAATAATAGAGAAAGGAGAAGTGAGAAAGACTATGAGCTCTGAAGTTCAATAAAACCACCAAACACATTGGAAATTAGACTATGTCAATGTCATATCCTGATAAACTACGCGATTCCTGAAATATTAAGAGGTTACTTCCTTGAAAGAAATTTCAGTAAAGCCATCTGAAGTAGCTTGATATTACATTTTTGGAAGTCACCCCCCACCTCTAGTAGCCAAAGACACACCAAATCTAGTAATCTAGTAAACACCACAGTAAACGGCAGTCAGTTGAAAACAGACATTCCTTGTCCACAGAGGGTTCTGATTGGTGTTTGAGGAACAACAAGGGGCAGGCAGACTTGTATGTAACATGGCGGCGGAGGAGGAGGAGCTCAGAGAGATAATGAGGTCAGTGATAGCCAGGACAAATGGGGAAGGATTTTAAGACAACAGGAGCCACGGGCGATTTTATTTTATAGAAAATGAAAATGTAATTGGAGTTTTCCTATCAGAGGAGGGACACGACTTTTATAGTGATTTTTTTTTGTCTGGGGTGAGAATGAGCTGAAGAGAAAAGAAGGAACACCAAGATACCACGTGAAGTGACTTCAACAAATCAGGCAAGACATGGGGTGGGGTGTACAGGCCCATGGTGTACTGAGCGTCTGAGAAATGGCCGATTCTACGTAAAAGATCAGCTATGGCACTGCAGGGTGGGATATATAGAACAATGAGGAGAAAAGAATGTCTTCGTGTTTTAACTTACATCATCTGGAAGAATGGGGCTGCAGCCAGTACATACATCATGGAACTGAGACAGGGAACTATGAATTTTGGGGGTGGGGTTGGGAATTCAGAAGTCAGTTTAGGGCACACTCATTTTCAGATGCTCACTAGACATCCAACAGGCAATGTCAGATGGATGTAGTGATCATGTTTTCATTATGAAACTCATTAAAGGTGGTTTAGGAGAGAATTAGAGGCCTGGACTGATGTGAGGCACGGAGGTCTTCCTGATGTGCAGTCTTATAAAACTCTTGTGTTGTTTGAGTCCATGAACTCACTGCAAGGGCTGTATCTTATGTTTGCACACTGCTTCTTAACTTCTGGAACCTGTAGATGTCCATATATATATGTATATATATATATATATATAATGAAAAAAGTCCTTGCAGGATACTATATTTTTAGAACTCTAATTGAAATGCTTCATTTTATAAGTGAGTGGTGTTGGTATGAACTTACCACCAGAGAATCATTTGGAATAATAGGATTATGTATATAATTTAAATATAGACCATTTGAACACCAAGAGAAAAAAATTATGGCACAGGGCCATTGGGGTGGACTAGCAAGTAAAGGTAGCTGTCACCGAGACAGTTCAATTCCCAAGACTCATAGGGTGAAAAAAGAGAACTAACTCCCTATTTCATGTTGTCCTCTGACCCACTCTCACACTGTAGCACACACACACATACACACAGAGAGAGACAGAGAGACAGAGAGAGAGAGAGAGAGAGAGAGAGAGAGAGAGAGAGAGAGAGAGAGAGAGAGAGAGAGAGAGAGGTCAAAACAAAATTTTAAAAAGAATGGTGCAGAAAGTTGAAACAATAATTCCAGATGCTGCTTTGGGTAATCTTGTAAAGAGCTTGAGAGAAGTGGGGTGGAGCCTGGACAGGAATGTGGAATATGAAATTACATTTGTAGGCACTAGGTATGAATCTGTCAGAGATGGAAATGGTGAAGGAGAGGAATAGGTGAAGCTCCAAGCAGGTGAAGTGACACTGAGTAGGTGGGAGGAGATGGGAACTGGGCCAGTCCGAAGGTCTTTCCATTTCCGTTTTCTTACATACAGAAGATGATAACCCTCTTCAATTGCTTCCCACTTTCACTGTTTTCAGGAAGCCTCACCTAAATCAATTTACAGAAGGCAATTGGAACGAAGGAAGAACGAAAGAAAGAGTGCAAAGGTCTGTTTGTCTTCCATGGTGATTTCCATGGAGAAGTTCAAGCATGTTGCTCCCATCCCATGAGGAAGCTTCCTTCCCCAGAGTGGGGGGCTAGATATGCAGCGCAGTCAGGCTCCAGGGCCCCTACATGTACTTGGGATAAATACACACTGCACATTAATCTTAGATCATTCATGTCAAAAGTATTACAAGGTTCGCGATTTCTTTCTGTATGGAAACACATGAGAATGTCAAAGTCTGAGTTTTCCTTATTTGAGAGACTAAAGAGAGGAAATTTGGTGCATATCTACAAAGTAGAGTTGCTTGAAGCACAGGAGTAGTGGATTCCAAGTCTCTCTGAAGTAAGGATATTAGGGTCATGTGCATTTTCTAAACTTGCAGAGGGAATATTTTATTTGATGTTTTGCTAAAGTTGTAGCAAGGGACACATATTTTTTTTTCCTAAAATAGTGTTTAGTCAGCAAACATGGCCTGGGTAAGCAGGCCTTTTAAAGTCTCTGCTCATTGTCTTGTGTGTGAAGAGAAATCCTGGCTGATGCCCGTACCCCTGTCTGCTCTCTGATAGTTCAGGTGCTTGCTAACCTGAGGCATTTTTCTCAGAGTAGCCGCTACTTACATTTCAAGAGGAAAGGTCCAAAGGATGTTTGAAATAGCGCATCACAGCATTTAATCCATGCATTCCGTTGTCAATTCCTGATGTTCTCTACCAAACTGGCAATTCTGTGTTTGCTACCAAGCAGTTGAGGGGCTATGGTGGGAATGACACCATCGCCTTGAAAATGCACCGGGAAGAGCTGCATGGCTGCTGCCCCGGCTCTGGCTCAGAGCATCTCTGTCACTGGGTTGCTGGTGCATGTAAGGCAGTTCCCAGCTTAGCCCAGGAGCGCCTGCTAGACCGACGTGGGGATGGCTGAAGCTTGCGTGTAATTTTAGCCCATCCGTTTTTCTCACTTGGGGGAGGTTCTTGCTCTTCTGTTTTTCTATGTTTAGTCTATGTAATTGTGGCTGGAAAGGACTAGTTGCAATTACGCTGCCAATATTTGTTAATATGCTGGAGGGGGTTTCTAGGCACCGCACCACTGACAGTGGTGGCCTTGCTCCTAGAATGGAAACGTCGCCAGCTTTTGAGTCTTGATTCAAATGTTGGCTTCTCAACTCTGAGCAGGATGATTTAGAGACTTTGCCTCAGTTATGGGACAAGGATCTTATTTCATAGGACACTAAGTATAACACAGATACTGCAGTCTGGAGATAAATAAAGCCTCTAAGGAAAATCCGGAGTGGTGACATGTGACTTTAATCCCAGCACTTGGGAGGAAGAGACAGGTGGATCTCTGGGAAATTGAGTGAAGTCTGATCTACATAAATTCAAAGCCAGCCAGGGCTACACAGTGAGGCCATGCCTAAAAAACAACCCTCAGCTCCCCCCAACAAACAAAAAAACTACTTTAGTGGAAAAATCATTTTGGGACAGGGGTTGCTAAATGTACCTCACTAAAATGACTTTGCTGGCCTGGAACTCAGGGGTCTCCTTCCTAAGCCTCCTGAAGCAGAGGTTAGAGGTATGCATCACCACGACAGATGAAAGAAACAAATTTATATGGCATTTATACTCACCAAATAAGTGGTGGAAATTAGCTCACTGGACTATTTAGGAGAATGAACCATATATTAAAGTCTTACATAATATACTGCCAACTATATTTCTGAATGTATTCAATGTTTTCATATAAAATGAAAATTCAACACCAAATATGTGTACTTATTTTTTAAAAATATGTACAGCATAGTGAAAGGTAGTACAGTTATTATGACAGTAGTTTGCCTACATTATTATTAATTATTATAACCATTACCTTATTATTGAGACTATATCACTAAGAGGGCTTAACTTGTATGTAGACCAGACTGGTCTAGAACTCACAGAGATGCTTATTGCCTGTGCTTTCCAAGTGCTGGGATTAAAGGCATGCACTACCATGCCCAATGCCTATATTATTTTTATGGGACAATTTATAAGTAACAAGTGTCAGCAAATAATGAATTTCCTTGTATCAGGTAACATCTTCCCAGGAAAGGCATGAATTCACTGAGATGACACAACCACTGTGAGTTTCTGAGATTAAGCAGGTAACATTATGTTTCCTGTGATTTCAGAAACTCTCATTTTTTCTATTGAAGTGTTTCATGCTATGAGTGTATCATAGTAAACAGTGGTTTACTATTTTTTGAAAAATGAGGTTCACCTGGAGAAAATTGCAACTGCTCTTTTCTAGTAGCACGAGAAAACATAAAGGGCTAAAGCTTCCCACAGCCTCTCTCTGTGTGAGCAGATAAACTTCTAGAAGTCAAGTGATAGAAATATTCATGGAATTTTAATTTTTCTTTCCATATTCTGAATACTTGCCCATAAGTGAAAATTTTGTTTTTACTAGATTGACAAATACTTCCTGAGTTTAGAGAGCTCTTAAGACCTCTGCCTTTTAGGCACTAACAGCAACTGGGGAAAACATTGAAAATACCACTCATAACCTGGCAACCAAAATTTCAGCAATAAGTTCACTTTAGAGACTTCTTAGGATATATAATAACAGAACCTTCAAAAATCATATAAAGTTAGGCCTACTTGAAAGCACACTGTAAAAATTATCCATGCCTCAGCAACAGAGGACTCTAGCGAGCAGTTCTACTGTATTGAATACAAACATTAGGTTTTACAAAGTGGCCTCTACAGCAGCTCAGAACAGTTTGTATGTATTTCCCCATGACCACACACAGTGTTAGCAAACATAACACAATGACTGTTGACTGAAAACAAACTCTTGCATCTTTAGAAAAATAGAAATTAAGAATCTGTATTTTGAATTGACTAGTCATACATTCGGAGCTTATTTTTAGCATGTTTTAAAGGTACTGAGAAAATTCAGTACTTTAAAAGCAAAAGGATTTTCATATTCCTTATGTCCTTTACCACTCACCAGCTTCAGAGAAAGTGAATTTCTGTCAAGAGGGGAATCATGGTCTACAATAATAGCTGTATTTGTGAACTTGTGATTTCTCCCAAGTATATCTTAATTTTAATTTAGTCAAATTTCTCAACTGGATTGGTACCTGAGTTCTTAAGGTCAATTGCAAAAATCTTATTTGGGAAAAGCTAGTAGTCCTACTGTTTTGAAAATGAAAAACAAATGAGAAACCAATGTAGGATCACTTAACAGGTAAGGATGATGTTGAAATTATGATATCACAATTTAAAAATGTAGAACACATTTCAGGGTTAAATTTGATAATATGACCATGTAGTAATAATTGAGATGGTTTTGGGAAGCAGACACCTTCAAAATCTGCAAATGGCAGTTTTATGTCAGTGAGATTTATATGTGTTACATGCAATGTGAATAATAGTCATGATTATAATGAAAATTAACAAAATATATTAGTGAAAGTAAGGGTTTAAATTGCTTTGTGTATCTAAGATATTCTTTAAAGAACAAGAAGTCCCCTTTAAAGTTCTATCAGACCAATACAAACAAAACAAGAAACTAACCTGATCTTTTAGACCTATAATACGATGATGGAAAATGGAACATTTGGTGAAAAGAATATTGATGGATGGATAAAGGCACAGGGTGATATAGAGAGGAAAATTATGACAGAAGAGAATGAGAGAAAAATATTTAAGATACAGCAAAAAATAGGAGTAGTCATTAACAAAGAGAAAAGCTGAAGTCATTTTAGAGCACGGATCCTCTTAAACACAGTTCTCCTTTTTGTCAGTTTAGCTGGAACATCACATTTCCCACATTGACATTAAAGAAGAACAGTTTGTAGACTATTTTCAATTTAGGCAATGCCTTGAATTAAAAGAAAACCACTACTATGAATTGCCTTGAATTTCATTCTGTGTTTTTAACTTAATACACTATCAGAACATCTGCCAATTAAAACATTGACTATTAAGATTATTGAGACTATACTCAAGCCCCGGGAAAAGAAGAAACCCCTGTTTTTTTTTTACCTGCCTTAACTTTCTTATTGAGTCCCATTGACAATAGCTGTTGCTCCAAGGAAACAAAAGCAGTCATTTCTTGAACCTTATTTCTCCTACATGTTCCTGTTTCTTTGCTGGAACAGTGTGTTATTGTTAAAGGGTTCTGAACTGTTCTTCAATTATCTGAGAAAATCTACAGCCCAAAGCAAATATTTACCTTATGCCTACAAAAAATAAGCCACAAAGAAAAAACCAACAAAACTCCATAACCCAAACCCCAGATACCTAAAATCCAGTTCACCCAGGGCCTTACCTATAAGAAGAAAACATATTTTGCACAGAAAGGTCCCAACCATGCTGCTGAGGGGCTCCATGCAAGCATCCTGTCCCATGCATACAGCGCCCTGTTCTCAGTGGCAAGTTGGTTCATGGACCAGCAGCTGCTGGTTTATTTGCTAGGGAAATTAGCAGTGAGGTAGCAGACCCTATCCTGCCTCTTGCTTCTGTGATTTGAATACAGAATGAATGTGTATACAAAGGACACAGGGAGCAGAACACCTGTTATGTGCTTTGCAAGAACACAGGGCTGTGGCTTTCAGAACAGTTTCTTAGTGATTCTCAGGAATTTTTCAGTGTCGTTCTATAAATTATACTGAGTTATTCATAATCAGAAGGATGAGGACAATCTCTTCAGGTGACTGCTTGATAAATAAATGACAAATCTGGTTTCCTATCATGAAAAATTATGTTATTGTTTTGAAATTTGAAAAATTATTTTCCATTGAAAATTGAAGGGTTTTTTTAAAAAATGAATTTACTATGTAGCTATTCATCTTTATGAAGTTACTGAATATCATGTAAAGAGTATACCAAAGAACAAAAGCAGACCACTAGAGTATTTTTAATGTATTTTTTCTATGTTATATTTTCTATTACAAATAGCTGTGATAGTTTTATTGAATCTATGGATTCATAGATTTAAAAACAAATTGCAGATAAGGTTCTACGTGGGAATGAGGCATGCATTGCATATAATTATAATGTGTAACATATGCCAACAGATAACGTGACACCAAAATTTCTCAGATGAATCTTAGAGGAAGTGATCCAGCAATCCATAAAAATTTTACCTGTGTGTTCTGGCCTCATCTTCCCATCCTAGCTCCTTTCTTCCTGTCATTGCCATGGAAGTAGATGGGCTGAGAATTTCGCTTAATTTGGTAAGTTGTGAGCTACCATTTGCAAGAAGGCTCTGGTCCAAGCTTTCTGCATGAAATGGAACACACACACACACACACACACACACACACACACACACACACACACACACACACACAGAGAGAGAGAGAGAGAGAGAGAGAGAGAGATCTCCTGACTTAAAGCTAGTAGGACACTCCATTGAAGAAATTCAATTGAGAGGAGGAAGGCATAGGCTTGCGTTTTAACTGTTCAAACAAAGACTGTTGTTAAAATGTTATTAAAAATAAAAAAGGAAAAATGGTTACTCTGAAAACCAACTTTGGAAATATTCTTTGCGTCAAGGTTCCCAACTTGCTGAGAAAGTGTCTAAAGGCAAAGGCACTTGTAGTGATATATTATTTATAATTTATTAAAACTCGACTGAGGATTCTGAAAGCAAAGTCAGCTACAAGGCATAGAAGCCAGACACACACCTTTAATGACAGAAGCTAGGAGGTGGTGGTACACACGTTTAATCTTAGGATTCAGGATTAAGAGATAGATAGACAGATCTCTCTGAGTTCAAGGTCACCCAGGGCTACATGAGAGTGAATCAGTCTAAAAGAGTAACAGGGTGCCTTTAATCTCAGCACTAGAGGGGTAAACAAGACAGGAGCAAGTTTCAGTATGAGGCATTCATTCTCCAGGCACACTGAGGAGAGGCAGCAGTTAGAGACTTGGTGAAAAGCTCGTGTGTGGATCACCCCTTTCAGCCTGAGTTAAAGGTAAGAGCTAGTGGCTGACTGCTTTTTTTCCTGATATTCACTTTGAAGCTTGAATCCCAATAGCAATCTCTGGGTCTTTTATTAATTCCTGCTGTTGGGAAACCCAAGTCCTTTCTAGAGGTCAGTGACTTTACTTCAGAAATATGTCAAATACATCCTCAACCCCAAACAAAGACTCCGAGTTTCTCCGCACCCTCTAAATCTTCACACACATCCATATTCACTTTGGTCATTTCCTTAGCTGTGTACTTCTCGGATCCTTGACGAAGGGAACAGTCTTAGTCATGGACTGTTGGCATCTAAGCATTGTGTTCATCTTTCTTAACATGTTTCCCCAGAAATAAACTCCTTGTGCTCTTTAGCTTAAGCTGTCTTCTCCATAATTGTTTCATGAGAAATGCACTCAAATGTTCATATGACATGCAACATTCAGTTGGAAAGGAACACAAGCTTCCTCACTCCATTTAGATCAGTCTTAACACAAGCTGCTCCTATTAAATAAGATCTTTATAGTGTCCTCAAACCACAGGATGGTTTGTTTTGAGGGCTCCAGGATCCTTCCCCAGATGTCAGAAACAAAGACAGTATAGTGGGTTTTTCCTAGTGTCAAATGTATAGCCTTTAAAGGATTTATAAAAATTCCAGTATTTTCCTCATTTTCTATTAAAATGCACATATTTGGTGACAGAAGGAAATAGTAGGTGTTATAATAAGAAGCTAAGTACCAGAATGAACCCTTATTGTGCTCTTTTTCCTGTCAGTTTATACTTTAAAAAATCTGCTATGCTTTAGTTGTACAATGATTGCGTACCTCGACCAAGCGCCCTCTAGTGGTACATTCATAAATATAACGGCGTGTGAGAGTTATTGTGAATTCAGAAAATTCACATTGAAGCCATACAGGCAAATTTAATTTCAAGTGCTGCCAAACAGACAGACTTCTTAAAAATAGTATCAAAGAGTTTTGTCAGTATAAGAAAATTCTCCCAGACATATGGCATCACTTGGAGGCAGAGGCATGTAGATCTCTGTGAGTTTGAGATCAGCCTGGGCTACAGAGAGGCGCTGGGACTCAGGGCAGGGGTGGGATGGGATTGTCTCACCATAGTATTTTATAGCAAGCTGATAATCTACAAACTGTTTTTGCCTAAAAAAGGGGGGGCTATATCCTCATTGATTTCTCGTCTTAGTTATAGTTGCATTAAAAATGATTAACCTGAAACAATCTCTGCTTATGATGATTAGGGCACAACTATTTTCTGACCTCTCCAGTCACACATAGTAAGTTATAGGCCGGTTCTGTTTTACACAATGAGCATCTACCACATGTATTTCAAGGAGCAATATCCTTTAATGCAGATGCCTCAGTGTAATTATTTACAATAGCACAAACAGCAGAGGAGAGTTGGTGACAAAAGATCGCATGAACGGTTGTACATAAGATGAACTGGGGAAGGAAAACATTTACTGTAATTAACCCTGTAATTACATTCGATTCTGAGAAGCTGTACAGTCTGCAGGAAGAGTGGGCCACTGGAGGAGGCAACTGCATATGCAGATTTCCGGGCTGGATTCCCAGCCTCTCTGGGTACAGCCAGGTTGACAACTGCTGCCTCCCAGAGGGCCCATGCTGTAATAAACGATGAACTGAGGTAGTTAAAAGGCATTGGTGTCATGATTCAGGAATCACTCCTCAACAAAATACATGAAACCTTTAAGTATCAGAATAATCAGTTTACACAGCTGCAATAATCTTAGGTAAATTCCTTAATTTTTCCACACTTGACTCATCATTTTTAAAGTGGCGATAACAGTAACTCCATAAGGTACTCATGCTTATGGGCTAGGGTGTGTATTTATTCCTTCCTTCCTTCCTTCCTTTCTTTTTTTTTTTTTGGTTTTTATTTATTTGCATGTTTGTTTTCTAGAGAGAGAAAGAAAGAGTGTGAAGTTGGTGGGTGGGTAGGTGGTGCTGATCTGGAACGAGTTGGGAGAGGGGAAAATATTGTCCGAAAAAATTGTAATTAAAAAAAGGAGAAAAGGTTTCTCATGTAGATACATGAGGTCATACACACGAGGCCACTAACAGAGTCCCTTCCAACTTGTAAATCTTCAGCGTTACCTATTATTATTATTATTAGCTCTGAGTTTGCTGCCCACCCCTCAATAGTCTCATAATTTGAAATCCTTATAAAACTGAGTCTCCGAAGCTTCCCTGTTACTTTCTCCTTGGTAACCACGAATGACCGGAGACAACTTGAAAGTGACACATTTTCTCACAATCACTGATAAATCACGATTTGACTTTGCTTAAGCAGGTAGAAAACAACAACAACAACAACAACAACAACAACAACAAGACAGTTGGGGATTGGACGAACTCTATGATTGTCCTAGCGCTCTCTACAGGGAATGCCAAGAATGAAGAAGACGCTGAGGCTGGCCATCAGAGGCCTAGGGCACCCGTCTCCCACTTTCTCAGGCCACGCCCAGAGCCGCGGGGAAATTCCAGGGACCAGGACGCGTGTCTGAGTGAGGCTCGCATTCTCATGACCCCCAACCCCAGCCCAGTGCTTCCTCTCGCACGCACAGATGGCGTCTTGTCGGTCTGGACTATCTACTCTCAGACTTGGCTGAATGGCCAGAACACCTAGGTCTCAGGGATGCCACCTTTCCCGAGTCCAGGTGGTCACTGGTCCACGCAAGCGTTGCTTCTTGGGAAATGTAGTAACCAGGTTGCCCGCCTTCTGCGCTTGCAGCCGGAAGACTACACTTCCCAGCATCCTCAGCGAAAGGAAGGCTGACCCAGGCGGCCAGCTCCACGTGACTACTCACTATGGCTTCCCTGTGTTGTAGCCGGCTGTCTGGTGGGCTTGTGTGATTTGTTACTTCTCTGCGGCGGGGCGATCCCCTCTCTGCCTCGACATGCAAAAAATCAAATCTCTAATGACCCGGCAGGTGAGTCCTGTAGTCTGAAGCCAAGAGTTCCTTCCTTCCGGCTGGGAGAGGAGCAGAGCTCCCAGCCCTCGGGCAGAGGTGGGCGGAGGCTGAAGTTATAGGGGGTGGCGGGTCTCAGGGGTGCCGGGCAGCTGAGTAGCACCCAGGAAAACGCACCCGAGCCTCCTTGACCCGACCTCGGCTCTTTGTGGGTACTGTCCTCCTAGACACAGTCATTTAGACCAGGGAGTTGGCTTGTCTTTGTCGCCCCTCCTCTGCTTTTGCTTCCTTTCCCGGACAGTCTCGGCTGCTTTGCAGCACCCCTGTCATCCTGACAGGCGGTGGTTTGTCATTGACTCCGGGGAAGGGGGGTGGGGTCAGTGCAATAGACAAGACTGGAAAAGAGCGAGGGTGAGGAACAGGGCGATTTGTAGACAACATAGGTAGCGTTGTGGTTCGGGGGCAACTCTCCAAACCTTATAGCTGTTTTCTGGATGGGAGAATGAGAATGACAATTGCTTTTCTGTCCCTCCTATCTCAAAGTACCGCTGTGAAGGTCATCAGTAAGCTGGTATA